GCGTCTGATTGAAATATTAAAAAATAATACATTCATTTTGAATTCACCTCCACTACTAAATGTTTCCTCTTGACGGCTCTGAGCTTCTAGTTTATATATAAAGTATTAAAAAATAACTGGTAAAAGATGAATATTGCTTTTTACGATTAAACCTAAATTGTTCGCTATAATTAATTAGCACAACACTTATTCTAACGTTATAATGTTCATATTGAAACGTAGCTTTCTAAAGTAAAATTAAAAAAGCAGGCGATAAAATTAAAAAAGTATAAAATCTAAAATAGAATAAAAACCAAACGAGGCAATATTGATCAACTTGCATTAATACTAATTAAACAATTAAATCCTTCACTTTCTCCATTGCGATACCCTATCCTTGACCAAATGAAATGCACCCAATGTCTTTCGTGATGCTCGTCGAATTTTCCATGGAAAAAAGTAACTTTGGTTTGTTATCTATTAGGTACAAGTATTGCAATGCCATTGTTTTAGACTAGATAGGAAATACTATGAATACGTAGACAGTAGTGGGATTCGGAATGCATGGAAATAGACCAGTTGCGCAACCTGCTTGGTAAATTAAGATTCTGACGCGGCCGGATGCCATACCGATGTTTATTGCGAGATTTAAGACAACGCGTGCCTATGCAAATAAGCGCTTAAAAGATTATCAATCAATTAATTCGATGACAAGTCAATTTCGGTTTTGACACTTTTCCATTATTCATTCTTCAATGCCAATATCGGCTCCCCTTTTCTTACGATCGCAATTGCATTATTCATTGTTACACATATATGTGTCCTATAAAAAACATTGCTTGATAACGTTTGTAAACGTAATGACAAATTATTTTCTTGAACGAAGGGGTCGAAAATGGGAAATAAACAGAAATACTTAACTTCATTCCTTAATCAATTTTTTAGAGAAATAAAGAAAAAGAAGTTGCTTCGTTTCATTAGCAATATCATTTGCTCTAATGAGGATCATAATAATAATAATAATAATAATAATAGTAAGATTACTTATAGGTAACAATTGCTTCGTTTTCTGTCATTTTAAAATCTCTATTACAATATAAGAAAATATTAATATACGTAGCTCTTTCTATAATTAGTATATTTTCATACAAGACAATGGAAAATCTTTTAAGAATATAAAAACAGTACACATTATAATAGAAATAGCAACGAACGAACTTGATATAAAATTAGTAACAATCGATGCAGGAAACACATTTCCGTAATTTGAATGCTTTACAAATTACATAATTGAACATTAAGTTATGTCATAAACTGAGTTGGCAAACTCTGAACAACTCTAGTACATTCAACCAGAGTTCCTAAAATATGATCAAAGAAAAAATAAGACGTCTAAGTTTCTAATTATATGATAAATTATAACAGAAAGGAATATTTATGAAATATTAATAATTTACAAACGCTGGCAAGATTTATCTGTAAAAGAGTTCCCACGTAATACGTGTTAAATTTCAAAAGAAGAAAAAACTGTTGAATCACATCGCGTCATTAACAATCAAGAATGTATAAATAATTATACGAAAAATAGCTTTTGCCGTGAAGGTAACGTGAAAGAAAGCACGTGATTCATTTGATCAAAATTCCCTGATGTACGTATTATTACGTTAAAGTCGGTCGTACGAATGCGGACAAACGATGCTGAAGAGGAAAAAGAAGATGAAGAAGAAGAAGAAGAAGAAGAAGAAGAAGAAGAAGAAGAAGAAGAAGAAGAAGAAGAAGAGAAGGAGGAGGAGAAGACAAGACAGGACAAGACAAGACAAGACAAGACAAGAAAGAGGCGTCGAGGCCTTAGAAGACAGACATCGAAGTAAGAGCAGGAGAGACCGAATCTAAGATTATTTCGGGATTGGCCGGAGATAAACCGGGCCAACATCGAGCGAACGAAGCAAAGCGAAACGTAGCGAACGAAGGGAACGGAGCGAACGACGCGAACGGAGCCTTGAGGTTTGACTCATCCCTCTGGACTCGAGATTTGGCTCGCTCGCAACATTACGCACAACACAACATAATAACGCCGAAATATTTCGACGGTTGCCTGCACTTTTCCCGACTGAATTACGTCAACCATTCTACCGTGCAAAGTTTCTCTTCTACACGAATCCCACGCAAAATCGTACATTTCTCGATTAATTTCCCATTTATCAATGCTTTTAATATTATATTAAAGATAAGTTAAATATCCTTGCTTTTAAAATAAAACAATAAATTAAGAATTTTAATTAAGGAATGATTAAGAAGAGATGTTATTTTAAATTAGAACTCATTTTCTTTGCAAGCTTCGATCATATCTAGTTGAGAGTTAGGTCGTTTTTAAGGAATGGCCGTGCTCCATTTGAAGGAACGCGTGAAATATTCGTTAATTTTATTTGATAAAAATTTTCTTATGCCTAGAAGTGTTATCCTTGCAAACTATTCACGTGTTCCTTCGATGCTTTACAAATTACGAGGTACAGGTTATAAGTTATAAAGCCATAAGAATCTACCCTTTGGAGCTAAGGATCGTCTCCATATCTTTAGAGAAATTGCCCATTATCACGATGGTGCCCACAATGGTACCATTATAATAAACCACAAAAATTTGGCATTTAACAAAGAAACGATAAATCCGTTTTTCTATATTTCTATATTTCTATATTTCTATATTTTCTATATTTGACGTCAACGAGTCGTGTTGAACGGATGACCAAGCTGTGGCGAGCGAATAACTTATTGTTAGCAGAGGGAATGAGAGAAGGAACTGCAATTTCTTGCAAGGTCGTCGAAAAGTTAAACATCGAAGAAACGCGGGTTCATAGTGTTACGGTCGAGGAAGGAACTTCTGTTACCGCAAAACGAAAAACAATTTGGCTAAGAGACAAGAGGAACAGTGGTGTTGCATTACATCTCGTCGAAAGGGAATGAGCGCCAACCATCACCAACCAGTGACGACCCACTTGTTTCGATACTTTGCAGCCAATGCTCCGTGAACTATTGTTTCGAAATTTTTTTTTATAAATAAAAGAACCGCCACCTCGCTGAGAGGAAAGAAACATTATACCGATCAGACTCCTTTGTATAAAAAAAGATATATAGACAAGCAATGTAAAAAATCAATATCTTCTTTTGTCTTCAAAATTAAATCGATGACAAGTCAATTTCCGTTTTGTTCCGACACTTTTCCATTTTTCATTTCACAACGGGAATCATCGGTTCCCCTTTTCTTACGTGAAAATGGGAGATAAATAGAAATACTTAACTTCATTCTTAAATAAATTTTTTAGAAAACTAAAGAAAAGTTGCTTCATTTCATTAGGAATATCATTTGCTCTAACGAGGATCATAACAATAACAGTAAGATTAGTTGTAGGTAACAATTGCTTCGTTTTCTGTAATTTAAAAATTTCTATTACAATATAACAAAATGTTAATATACGTAACTCTATAAAGCACCAAGTGATACATGAGTCAGCACCGGAAGTGGAGGCGTTTCAAAGATTTCAAAATCATCTTAATTTTTTGAATAGAATTGCATACTCTGTAATATATCAATTGAAGTGTTTTGTATATCCTACAAAAAGGTATTAAGGAACTTGGGTGAAAAATTGATTAACTCAAAAGATATCTCAGGGAGAGACAGGGAGAGCTCAGTAGTCTCTCCCTAAGATATCTTTTGAGTTAATCAATCATTGATCCAAGTTCCTTAATACCTTTTTGTAGACAATAAAAAAAACGCTTTGATGGATGTATAATAGAGTGCAATAATTTATTTTGAAAAATTTGATTACAATTGTGTATACAATATAATACATCTCATGTAAATTCAAAATTAAAAAAGAAAAAAGAATAGAGATATTCCATTAAGTTATATTCTTGTCCATTCCTGGCGCAAAAAGCAGCGACTGTTTTGAAGTACACCTTGAAGAAGTATTACATAATCTCTATTGCCAGAGACTAATTTCATTCCAGGTTCCACCAGAGCACCACCCTCGTTCCTTTCCTTTTGCTTTTTCTTGCCCCACCTTCATCATAGGGTACTTTAATTCTTGTTTAGCTACCGCCTTTCCGTACTGTTCTGGGACTAACTGTGGTTATTTTCGTTCGTTAGCGACAGTATATAGTAGCTACAGTTTGAACGTAACACATGGTTATTATAATAATAAATTACCGCTTTACCTTGGTAATGACTCGATACAAAGAAATATATATAAAATTATAATATTGGACGTACTCAAATATAAAAATGACATATTTTTAAACAAAATACGATACAAAATGATGTATATTGGTTTAAATAACAAGACGTGAAATTGTCAAAATTGCGGTAAAAAAATCATCTTTTTTTATGAATTTTAAATTTTCAGCATTTGTACATTTTGAAGCACTGCAGCCATCTATCAACACGCGGATTAACCAATCGAAGCGCATTCATAAGAGCACCGACAGTATCTCGTCAGTGATAAAAGTACTCAAAGGTCAGACCCTCCCACGAAATAGGGGCGTGGGGGTCCCGGTGTGTTCGTCAGAGGTCCCGGGGCCCTCCCTATAGCCCCAGTGCAGGCCACCGTGGTGGTTTTTAGGCCCCCTGGGGAGGGCTGAAGGTGCCTTTCTGAAGATTTCCACCACGTAAAAAAAAAAAAAGGATGTAAAGCATGCCGATATGTAAGGGATGCCTAGATATAAAGCAAGCAGGGATGTAAGGGATGCAGAGATGTAAAAGATGTTAGGGATACATAGTTGTAAAGGATGCAGGCACAAATTCAAAACCGTTTGAAAACAAAGGCACGTATAAGTACTTTTGTTGGATTTGTAGTCATTGGTATCGAGTATGGTGGATTTGCCTAAAAAAAATGGTGATGTCCCAGGTTCTACACATAATTAAATATTACACAGTAGAAAATAGGTTTCCTACTATTACACAGTACATCGTGTAATATTCACATAGAAAATACTGTGAAGTAATAATGTATTAAAATCGTTAGTTTTTGATGTAGTATGTAAACGTTTCTTTTTTGTTTGAAGTGAGAATTTAACAGAGGGCGTGTTCAGTTGTGATCATTCAAATTGTAGTGTATTCCTGGTTTGTTTGCGGATTTTAAGGAACAAAAAAGATGTCCGAATTACTTCATGATATGGCTTATCGTGGTAAAACTGTAGATATTAAAAATCGTCTAAGCGAAAACGAAAAATTAAAGCTGTCAAAAGATAGTGTAGGTATTTATTTGTTTAGTATACTTTTTAAGGTTACATTATAGTTGAAATTTGTTCTCCTAGAATGGTCGAATGCTAATACATTGGGCAGCACTCGGGGGCCATGACGATTTGGTCCGATTTTTGTTATCTCTCGATGTGCCTGTAGATCCTATTGATGATGTAAGTTTACTAATTTATCAAAATAATAAAATAACTCGTAAATAACTAGAGAACTTTCATAGTGACTAGACGGTATTCACTCCTGCGTAGTTCTAATTCGTCAGTGTTACCAATAGTTATTTTTATGCAACATAATTTGAAAACAACTTCTGAAATTGAAATTTTTCTTCAAAGTAATATGATGTTAAACTGTACTTAGATGGATATGACACCATTAATTTTGGCAGCATCAGCAGGTCGTGAAAAAGTTGTCAGAACGTTATTAAGCGAAGGAGCAAATGTTAATGCTACCACACAGGAAGGCCATTCTGCTTTACAGTATGCTGCGTCAAAAAACTGGAAGTCTATTTGCGTCTCATTACTAGAAAAAGATGCAAACGTTAATATTACAGACAAACGTGGAGCTACACCGTTACATAGAGCAGCATCAAAAGGAAACGCTGCCATCGTGAAACTTCTCCTAGAATATGGGAAGAATATAGACATAGGTTGGCATTACTGAATTTCTTTGATCGATTTTAGTATTTAATATTCTATAAATTTGATCGTTTTTTAGATAGTAAAGATGCTGATGGTAATACCCCGCTACATTTAGCATGCGAGGAAAATCGTGTTGATGAAAGTAAGATTCTGGCACAACACGGTGCCAATATATTACTGCCGAATAAAGAGAAGAAAACTCCTTTAGATCTTGCAAGTCCAGGATTGGCGCGTAAATTAAAAGAGATAAAAGAACAGTTATCAGAAAAAGTGGAATAAATTATCAACATTATCGGTTCAGTGTTGTTCAATCTTTGCTTTTCTTTTGATATTACAATTATCTTTTTTCCACTATGCTATATGTATATTAAGTAATGATAGCAATAAATTAAAACATACAAGTGTAATACATATTTATTAAGTTATAAATAAACTGTTCTAATATATACGATTTAATGCAACGACATTAAATAAAAATTCCTTAAGTATACAAAAACTGAATATTATGAATGTTTAAAATCATGTTTTTTATAATTCTACCATCTTCATTAATTTCTGCCAGAATATTTATACCGAATTTGGGTAACATTATTAAAATAACAAATCATCATTTTTCATTCCTAATAAGTATCTCATTTTACTGCATTTTTAACAATTCTTAAATAATACTAATAATAATGAGAATATCAAAAGTAACTGTACATATAAATTGGTAAAAAATTGATTGAAAATCACTGACCAAATAACTTTTCTACTCTCCTTATTTTCCAGATTTTATTATGTCTTTCTTTTGAATATACTCAAGTATCATAAATGCTTGATCGATTTATATCGTATATTTATATAAAAGGTATCAAAACAGTTTATTAGTTTGTTGGTCAAAGCTTATTCGTCTATTGCTGACCTCTTCTGTTTATCCTTCCAGGTCATTTATCCCTTTTTACACTTACTCGTTCCAATCCCGTTGGAATTTATATTCCTAAAAAATGGCAATTATTTTATAGTCATTTGCATAAATAAAATGTACTAAAATTGAAGGTCAGTATTTCTTACGTTCTTGACACTGATTCGCAGTTAAATAAGAAAAAATATTCACCCGTCGATGGACATGATTCAATACAGTATTTCTTTTTATTTATGAAATTATAATTTATTTCTTATTAAGTAAATCCGTCGAAAATGTATATAAAGTTTATTAAATTTATTGAAAAGATTTTCAGATTTTATTATAATCGTTACGTGGAGAAAATAATCGTCCACGGTGTGTTAAGTGGCAGTTCAATTGCAAATTTGAAAAGCTCGCCTAAAAAGTCACTAGAAAGCTTTTACTGTAAAAAAACACAGGCCGGTTTTGTCCATATACAATTACTTAATCGTATCAAAAAATATGATAACCCTGATGATATATACAGAGTACATTATAAAGCATGCAGCATCTAGCAAATAGTATTTCTGTACACATTAAATGTATCAAAAAATTTCATTTTTTCACATGATCAATATCCCTAATTATTCCAAATACTTTTCCAATGTATTCTAGTACCAAGCACTTCATTGATGCCTAAGTTTGTATATTTTAACAATTCCTCATTTTTTGTTTTTGTGAAGTTAATCAATTCGGCAAATGAACGACTCATTTATAGTGAAGTGATATCCTGTAAAAGTTGGTACAAGATTTACTTATTCGTTAGATATAATATAATTTATAGAGTACTCTGTATATGTGTACATGTATACGTACACTTAATAATTAACCGCCCGTTAACCTCTTTTTGTCTCTTGTTCCAAATGTGGAACCAACTTCTACAGCACTCACTTGATTATACCAATGATTAAAATTTTCAGTTAACAACCATGAAATTGGATTTAACCACTTATTTTGTACGTTTTGATTTAATTTCAATTGTTATAATGAACAATACTTTTCTTTTCGTTATTTATTTCCTTTCTTGAAGAAAAATAATTCTTTCTCCATGTATACCGCAGTTCTCCAGAGTCCATAACTGCGAAAAGACCAATTTTCGTTCTTAGCGCATCTTCGCCCTGATTGGCGATACTCCCAAACGAAGTGGAAAGCGATTAGCAGAGAGCTCGCTGCGTTCCCCCACCATCTTCCAATCTTCGCGTCGCAGTTATGGACTCTGGTGAACTGCGGTATGTAAACTTGTTTCCTTATTTTCTTCGCTTGTTTCACCTATAAATCTTGGCAAAAAGAGGTTAAAAATGCGTTCTCTTTTAATGCACGGAAAATGCACATGTAAAAAAATGCATGTATAAAAACATTAATGTGTTTTTTTTCTTCTCATAATCATTCAGCAGTTTTTGAACATTCAATTTCAAACGCATCAAGAATTGTCGATACACCATTATTCCAAGTGAAATCCAATCGATGGAATTGTAACTGCTTTCTGAAAAATGTAAAAAACGTTAACAACGCGGTGTTTCATAAAAATTGATTATACCTTTTAGTATAGGTAGTTGTAGACACGTGCACACGCTGAAAAATATTGACAACAGTTATCATCGATTATTCGATGCATTCAAAATGGAATCGTATAAAGTGAAAACGTTTTCGATCTATGATCGGCCCTAAGTACCAATTTATAAATCTCGATCGTCGATTTCTGGTTCGTTCCGAAAGGCGAAATTAATTTAATTGGAAAAAAAAGAATTACTACTTGAAGTAAAATCAAGAAGAACGAAATTAATGAACTGAAACTAAAAGTAAAGAGTCTTCTTAGTGTAAAACTTTTCTTAAAAATAATAATACTTATTTCTTCAAAACACGGTGTCCAAATTAAAATTACCCTTTCAAGCAAGATACTATTTATATCCTATTAAGTATTTTTAGAATGGTTTTACGATACAATATTTTAATTATTTCAAAAGAAGGATCGATTACTTATTTAAATGCAGCTGGTACTTTTTTAAAAATCATTTTCTTCGAACACTTTGATTAATACAATATAAAGTGTAATCGGTTGTTCTTTTTTACTTTAGAATATTTTTGATTTTTTGACCTCTCGGAACGATACCTAAATCGTCCATCACTGGCTCGATTATTAAAAAATAATTACAAATAACATATTACGATGCTCTTCGCGATAAAAATAAAAACTGCGATAATAATAATTAATAATAATAATAATAATAACTATAATATAATTATAATAGATATTAATGCTGCCTAAATGCGATGTTAATTCGTTATCGATTATGCAGCCCCAATAATATATTTCTAGTCTCAATCTTACCCGACGAATAGTAGCATTTTTCACAAAAAATGACGAAGTCTTTACAGAAAAATTGGATAGCTGTGAAAATTACTAATGTAAAGCTTAAATAAAGTATGGCATTTCAGCGCCGTTAATACGGTATGGCATTAACGTATACACGCGAGATACGTGCGCTGAATTTATTAGAAAGAAATTTAATAGAAATTTAATCATGACATCATCGCTTGAAATTACTAACAACCAGGATCATTAACGAATTCATTGGTAACAGGTGGAGAAGGTTTACTTGTATCGGTTTTTATTATAAAAATGAAGGAATTCGTCATTTTCTGCGCTTGTTCCGCAAAAACGGAAATAAAATACTACTCGGTACGGCCCTGCCGGGTCTCTTATGTACAGAAGAAAGCCGCCCTCATCTAATGGCATCGTTGGGTGCATAGGAATCGACTCCAGAACTTGGGGAAACGAGTTCTGCGCTTGGAACTCGGTTTTCGTCCGAACGGAAGTGGATCTTGCACGCACCTCTTGGACCTGGGATTTTTATGAGTTTCCTGCGTTGTGAGGGTTCAATAAGCGGTGTGTGTTTTTTCGTTCAGTTGACAGTTTCCTCACCATCGATGCTTTCGTCCTGCGTCGTCGAATCGTCGCCGGAGCCACCGGTCTGAACCGAGCCGCGTTTCAAACGCGTCGAACTAAGGTTTATTGGAGGTCCACCTCCTCGTCTGCCAAATCAAATATTTATTCCTTTTATTAAAATATCCATAAATCAAAATCATCGTTTTGCTAACAACATATAACACAATCTACTATTAGTAATAAGTGAAATGATTTTAGATATCTATCAGAGAAATTGAATTGACTATTCTTTATCTAGGGATGATTATGTCTTTTCTTGAATTTTTTATGAAACATGTTTAATCTGACTAATTAATGAAGAAATTTGCGTTTCTAAAGCAGAGGATACAGTAGTGATGCAAGATCTATGAACAGAGTAATTACTAAACTACTGTTTGTGAATTCAACTGAATATTATTATGGAAAGTGAAGAAAATGAGCTAGCTGCTGTGATGCAGATTTGTATTTAGATTGATTTCTGAAAAATGTAGATTGTTAAAACTAACCAAAAATCAGAGAATTCTTGACACCTGAAGAATTTCCATTTTTCACGTCGGGTATGAATTATTCTTTTTTCCTCGATGCCTAGATATTTCAGTAGAATATCTTCAGTAACTTAATCACGTACAGTCTGGAGCACAGAAGACTTCCCTAGGGAAAATGGTGTTACAGGGGAAGCAGAATTTCTTAAAATGAAGGTGCGGGACACCAACATTTTTCCTAGGAAAGCCTACTATGCTCGGTGCTGTACAATTCATTTATCTGAATAAACATACTAACTCTGTTTTCATCTACAACTATTTACTTATTTCTTGTAGTCTTATTTTCACTGATATTTAATTTTACGTTTTATGTACTTTACTTTTTCAAATGCAAGCGAAATAAGAATAACATATGCATTGTAAAAATGTGATAGAAAGAAAGCAAATTAATTAAAACTCACCTCAATTTATTCTTAAGATTTGCTACCTCCCTTGTTAGCTCTTCTTGAGATTCCAGCATATCATCCATTTCTCTCTGAGCTTTCCTCTTCATCGCTTTATGCCTACTAATCTCCTCCTCAGCTTCGTCAAGTTGTCTCTTCAAAGCTTTCATTCTAGCATTCACTTTCTCCGCTTGTTCCTTAAATTGATCTGAGTTTCGCCTCTCGTCTTCTAACTGTAAGCTCAATTCCTTCAATTTCTTCTCCAATTTTCTATTAATCTTTTGCTGTGCAAATCTTTCCTTTGCTTCGGTTTCCAGTTGCTCGTCAAGATTGTTGATCTTCGATTCCAATTGTTGGATCGTAGCTTTGGTCTTCGCTCTCTGAGCTGTTTCCAATTCGGTAAGTTTCGCTTTCAATTCCTTGTTCTGCCGTTCCAATAGCATTTTGTGCGATTCTAATTTCTGTGTAGTCGATCTTTCCGTTGTTAAATCATTGGTCAACTGCTCAATAGCGATCTGGGCTTTTCTAGCTCTATCCATTAATAACTCAGCGTTCGATTGTTCTTCTTCAAGTTCCTCTTCTAACGTCGCGATTCTAGCTTCCAATCTACGTTTCTCGTCAAGCATTAGCGTCCCTTTGTTCGCATTGTTGTTCAGTTCCTCTTGTAACTCGTCCCTTTCGTTCTCCGCGGCTCTTCTTGCTCGTTCGCTACTCGCATAATCTTCGGTTAATTGCATCAGATCTGCCTCCAAACTCTTCACCTTTCTTTCAGTTTCTTTAGCAATCGTTGCCAGTTCATCCCTCGCTGATCTGGCTTCCTCAGTTTCTCTGGTACAATCCTTTATCTGTGCCTGAAGTTTCTTCAATTGCTTCAATGCATCTTCTTTAACCTTATTGTGCATTTCCAATTGCTGTTCGATATCTTTGTAATCTGCCTCCATCTTCTTGCGTTGCGCAATAGCAGCAGCCCTTTGCTTCCTCTCATCTTCTAATTCCGCCTCGAGATCGCGTAACTGTTTCACCAATCCTCTTCGCTTCTCCTCAGCTTGTTCTTCCTTAGCTTGCAAGTCCCGTTCAAACTGAGTTCTTAGAGCTTGCATGTTTACTTCCAATCGCAATTTAGCATCTTCCGTAAATTGTAATTCATCCTCAAGTTCCTCTACTTGAGAACGTTGCTCCGCCAATTGAGATTCGAGAGCTCGTTTCGCTTTCTCAAGTTCGTGCACATTTTTATCTGCTGTCCCTTGGTTGTTCACCAGTTCATCCAGCTCCGATTGAAGACCACGGCGAATTCGTTCCAGTTCTTCGACTTTCTCGTTCATCTCGTCAAGTTCACGAGTCAAAGATAAGACACGAGTTTCTTTCTCCCGAGCCTCGCGTTCCGCGGCATCGCGCTGCTCTGCGTATTGCTCCGAGACGGCTTTTTCTTCGGCCAGCACCTGGTAGTGATGTTAAAAACAATGATTTCCATTTCTTCTAATAACAAATATGATTTCTGTTACATTTTGAAACGTAGCTAATGCAGTTAACGTAAATAAAAGCTGTAACGAACCAACTTTATTACTACTATTGTGAAATTTCAACTTATCTACTCAAAAAATTTTGTGAAACACTAAATTAGTAATAATAATATGAAAAACTCACAGAAAGTTCCTCAAACTATCGTTAATTATTAGACAAACAAAAGAGTAATAATACTATTAATAAAAAATTAATAGAAATTTTAAGAATAGTAATAGCTATATTAATGAAATAATTACAACCGTAAAGGAATAAAAATTGAATAGTAAATCAAGTGAAAATTGAGTTGTTCGAAGTTTTGTAATTTTGCAAATAATTACCTTGTCGAAATTCTTTTGTTTCTTCTCCAATTCCAGAACCTTTGCTCTTTGCGCTTCAAGCTCGATAATACTATCTTCCAATTCTGCTTGAACCTTTTTCTTCGATTTATCTAATTTATCATTGACAGCTTGTAATTCTTCAACTTGTCTTTGAAGCGCTTCAATGTCTTTCATGCATCGTTTTCTAGCTTCTTCCAACGCTGCAGCAGCTTCAGCTTCTTCTTCGGCTCTCTTCTTAGCTTCAGCCAATTGTACATTCAAGCCGAGAACCTACGTTTTAAGCAATCATACCGTTTAGCTTAAATTTTATTATTAGTATTATTATTAACATTACCTGTTTATCTAGTGCTCTCTTTGCTTCTTCTTCCTCTTCCAACTGATCGTGAAGACTTTCCTTCTCACTTTCCAACGCTCTCAATTTCGAACTCAAAGCCAACTTCTGTCTGGTTTCTTCTTCAAGTTGCTGCTGCAGTTCTGTGAATTGAGATTCGCAGGTAGCTGAAGCCTTTATAGCCGCAGAAGCCTTCAACTCTGCAGTCTCTAATTGCTGCATCACACTTTCGGCTTCCTGTTGTAATTTCGTGACTCTTTCTACTAATTCCTGTCTGTTCCTTTCAACCTCTGCAAGTTTTGCATTCACTTCGGCAAGTTGCTGTTCAGCCTGTTTCCTTCTCCTGTCTGATTCTTGTCTGCTAGCGCTGATAGATCTCAGTTCCGTCGCTAGATCAGCGTTTTCAGCCTCCAAACCTGATTTTGCCTTTTCCAAAACAGCCTTCGTTTTCTTCAACGCGTCCATCTGTTCGTTCAACGCGGTCAGTTCTTGAGTATGCTTGTGACGCATATCGGCTAAGGTCGCTTCGTGCATCGACGTTTCCTCTTCCAAGTTCTTCTTCAACGTAGCCAATTCCTGTTCCCGTTTACTTCTCAATTCCTGTTGGGCAGCAGTTGTGTCTAAAGAATCTAACAATTCGTTCTTCAATGCTTCCAATTCCTCGTTTAGGTCGCGTTTTAATTTCTCTGCTTTTCCCCTCGCGGCTTTCTCGGCTTCCAAATCCTCTTGCAGTTCGGCCAGTTGAGATTCCAACTCGCGGAGGGCTTTCTGAGCTTGAGCCTTTGCCGCTCCTTCCTCGTCCATCTTCGCCATTACTTGATTCAATTCCTCCTCGCGTTTACCTAATTGTAGTTGAAGCTCTTCCACCTATAAAAAGAAATATAAATATCAGTGATATTACTGTACTAAGAACAGAAGATAGCTATTATTAAATGCATTTTACCTGTGTCTTTCTTTCAGCCAGTTGTTCTTTCAAATCTGATACTTCAGTTTCTATTTTTCTTTTTGATCTATCTACTTCTTGCCTCTGTTGATGATCTTTCAACAACCTTTCTTCAAGATCCGCAATCGTCGCCTCGTGCTTAGCTTTCAGTTTTGATAAATGTTTTGCTTTTTCTTCTTCTTCGGCAAGAGTTTGCGACAAATCGTTCGCCCTTTCCTCGAGGATCTTCTTCTCCTTTAATAACTTTTGATTCGTATCATCAGAAAGCGCGAGATCTTCCTCAAGCTTTTTAATCTTCGCATCGCATTGTACTTTTTCTAATTGTAATTTTTGTCTAGCAGCTTCCTCCTCCTCTAGTTGTTCTTCAAGATCGCTTATATTCAATTGCAATTTCTTTTTCTCCTGAGTCAACGCGGCGCTTCGTTCTTCCTCCTCCTCGATTCTTGCCTCCAAATCGTGGAGAATCTCTTCCAGTTCTTGCTTCCTAGCCGCCAATCTTGCTCGCATTTCTTCAGCTTCCGCGCATAATTCGACTTCAGCCTGCAGCTGCTCCGCCAACATAGTCTTCTCTTCGATGGCTTGTTGATATTTTCGTTCATATTCCTGAGAAGAATGCAACTGCATTTCCAGCTTGTCCCGTACTTGTTTCAGTTCGTCCTCCTTCTGAGTCAACTTTTCTTCTTGTTTAGTTACTTCCAGCAGTGGTTTCACTTTGGTGTACAAACGCCACCACTGCCAGTTTCGGAGCTTCAGATAAGCCGCACAGTTTCTCTGGATAATTCTGATGGCATTTAATTGCTGCAAGCGTTTCTGATAGTTCTTGCGAGCAAGGAAACCGCGACAGAATGCTTGGAAATTCACAATAATATCCGTGATCTTATAATCGCGTTCTTCTTCAAGGTGAGCCAAAACTCCAGCACGGAAGAAAATCTTCGACTGACCGACGCGATAGAGATTGGGGTCCAGTTCAAGGGCTTGAATCTGAAACAGATTAGAAAGATACATGTAGAAAAATATTTTAAAAGTCAAACCCAATGGTAAGTTTTAGTAAGATAAAAATCTGATCATTACCATTTTCTCGCAGGCCTTCTTTCCATCCATGAATCCCTTTGGAATAGCATTTGGAGTAAGAAGCTCGTATCTCTGCCTGAATTCCTGGAACGGTATTCTATTCGGGAATCCCTGTCGACAGATTCTAATCCCTTCCAAAACACCGTTACACCTTAACTGATCCAACACCAATGGAGCGTCGATCTTTCCGGCTCTCTTTTCATGATTCGGTATGATACATCTTACAAAATTGGGATTTGTGTTTCTCAGAGTGACCATTAATTTCGCCAGTTGTTCTTTGTACAATTGAGACACAGTCCTGAACATTCCTTTTCTCGTTCTTGCACCAAACTGTGTATCGGTTAACGCTTGCTGAGCCATGCCAACGATTTCAGCATCCTTCCAGATGTGGCAGACGAATGGATCCTGGGAACTTTGAAGGAGACTAACGACATTCTCGTTCAAGGGATCCATGTTCTTCATTAGCCATTTAGCGGCAGAGTAATCAACTTTTCCGGCATAGTGTATTATAGCAAAGTCTGCCACGCCTCTGAAGTCTGTTTTCATGAACTTCGGATGCACGCTGTGAGCACCTACTAATTTCTCGACGAACGTTTTATCTGTAGCCTTGGGGAACCAACATTCTTCGTCGAGCAACGCCATGATACCCATTGGTTTATCTATTAAATCAATCGTTGGCTGTAAATCTAATCCGAAGTCGATGAACTTCCACTCGATTCCCTCTCTCTGATATTCTTCTTGCTCCAAAATGAACATGGTGTGATTGAACAGCTGTTGCAATTTCTCGTTTGTGTAATTAATGCAGAGCTGTTCGAAGCTGTTCAGTTCGAATATTTCGAAACCAGCCATATCCAGGATACCGATGAAACTGGCTCCCTGTCTCTTTGTTCGATCCAATGATCTATTGATTCTGTTCACCAACCATCTGAACATTCTCTCGTAACAGGCCTTCGAGATTGCTTCCACCGCGAATTCCACCTGCTCTTTCGTCTGTGCTTTCGTAACGAAGTCTCTGCCTACTTTGATCCTCGGTTTTAAGAAGGCCTTCGTCATTTCTGTGACGCTCAGACCCAGTAAATGCGAGATCTTTTGGGCTACGGTGTTGTCCGGCAAGGTAGCTTGGTCCGAGTTCCTTTCTTGACGGAACTGCATCGAACCAAACAACATCACCGCGGACACGATACGGAATATCGACGAAAAGTCCTCGTTCGTCATACCCATGATGTGCATGGATTTCACGGTTGAGAAGAACTCGGCTGAATCGTCCACTCCGGGAACTGGAAGCGCGCCGTTCGACAGAAACGGATAGTGCTTCGGATCTTCCAAAATAAATTCCTCTGAAAATTATTAAAATTATCGAGTCAGTTTATTTAAATAAATTGAAATACCATATGAATCTTGAATCGTGTATAGGGGGTGTCTCAGATCAGACAGTAAAATCGAGCAGGGGGTGATTTTTGTCTGACTTTTCGTTTTCGAAGAAAGCGCTAGAAAAGTGTTATTTTTCTTTATATAAGGGGATGCAACCCTTTAGGATAGAAATAATTCCTATAATGTCGTCCTTTCATGAAAAATAATTTCCCATTGACTGTATTAAACAATTCCAATTCGTTCTTAAGATCTGTAGAAAAAGCAGTTTTTCGGTGTAACCCTTGATGGTGATTTTCAACCCTTAAATGAACAAATTAGCACGTACAAAAATACGTGTCTAACATTTTTTAATGTACCATAACATATTACAAAACGAAGAAAATCGGTGAGGTACACCTCGGGTCCTTGTCTATTATCAGTGCAGATGTACTCGCCGAATTTTCGAACTCAAATTTCTCGAAAATGAAAGCTCAAACGAAAAAAATGTATCCTTTTTCTTTTGGCTTATCTTTGCTTATAGAATCACCCCCCGTCCGGGTGTATTACCCGACACCTGAGACACTTTGTATATCGAATGTAGCTTACTCTTTTGCTCTGGAGAAGCACCAGCGAGGAGCTGATAAAATATGTGGAAAGTCCTTTCATCCTTCGCTTGTCGAATCGCTCTTGATTTCTCCAATAGATAAGTTTCAATGTTCGCACCAGCGATGTAACCGGAAGCGTCGAAGTTTATTCGTATGAATTTACCCTGTTTAATAAATCTTCGATTATTGTTTAAAAATACAACTTGCGAATTTGCAAGCTTCAATTTAATCCGAGGTTGAAGCTAAGAATATTTGCTTTTCCACTTACAAATCTTGAGGAGTTGTCGTTCTTCACCGTCTTGGCATTCCCGAATGCTTCCAGAATCGGATTTGCTTGCAACAGTTGTTGTTCCAATTCACCCTATCGTGAGAAATTAGAAAACCACTTAGAATGAAGAATTTGAATTCATCGAGCGAACATAACGACATTTAAATTACTTTTCCTGTACCATCGACTGAATATGTTTTCAAATATACATAAAATATACATTTTGCTTTTTAGTTAACACTTATCAAAAACAGGAAAACAAATTGATAAACTTATTGTAATAATAAAAAAAGTTATTCACTAATGTAGTTTACAGATGTAAGTACTTAACATTAAAAGAATTTACAAATCGTGAAAAAATAATTTCTAAAGATACACGAAATCCCTATTAATTATTTAACATATTTGATACAACTTTCTATGATAATATTTGTTTACAATTATTTTTTGAGAAATAGTATGACAAATAATTTATACAAAATATAGCAAGCATTGTATTAAAATTAATTGCCTCTATAAAAACGCAATTACTATAATAGCACCTCAACCTGTAATTAAAGCAATTAATTACAATATCGTGACTACTTGCACTTTATTTAGTTGAACTTTATTTAATGGAAAATAATGAACTGTAATAAAGTTTACTTGAGACTTAAGTAATATCGATAATTATGACTCTTTAAAAATAAATCATAAAGCAGACAGGAATTATTATTTAATCAGGAGCTTTAATATATTACGACTACTATTCATTAGTAAAAAAAAAAAGGAGAAAGAAAGAAAACATTTTAAAAAATACTTAAAAAGCACACAACACATGTACATACACATCCAGACACGACACAGAACACGTTAATGAATAATTTAATTAGTCGATTCTCACGTTAATTACCGCAAATTTATCCGAAACATTTCCGGAACTCTGAATCCAGCGAGCAGCGAGAAAGATAAGAAAAATTTGTTAGAATTTTCAAATACTATTTTCCCCTTAAATCGTCCGATAAACCATAATAATGTTAACTACTTTATTCGTTTCGATTAACTTTATACTTGTTAGTAGAGTGAGATTAAAGAGGCTACTCTTCCATCGAAAATCAATTGAACGTCGCTTAAACGTAGAGATCGTAAAAAAATCATAAACGAAGAATTCTCAAACGAAATGCAATGACGTACACTCTTACGTGCGCATAATGATCAAGGAAGTTGGCTGAGTTATTAAAATAGGAAAGATAAAATGTCCAAAAACCAGAAGGTACAAACAGTTAGTGGGACAAGCTTCAAAAACAAGGAAAGTGGGGTGAAAGATAAAAAGAAAAAGAAAAAGAAAAAGAAAAAGAAAAAAAGAGAAAGAAGAGATATAAGGAAGGCAAATACATAGCAGCGTATATGATCGCGTGAGCGGAATGTTGATCATTATGTTGTTGACTTACTATGATTAATGCTGGACTCGGTGTCTAGGTGTGTCGTGGCCGCCGAAAGTCAGCACCGGGAATGAAAGAATTTGCAAAATTAAATTCACGAGCCTCAGGTTCGCGAGTCCGATTCGAAATAATTTCGACAAAAATTACGTCTTACGTGCCTTTCGAATCTAAAACCTTGATAATTTTGGTTTTTCTGTTTGTTTTCAAAAAATTTCTATCGATTATATATTAACCTTTGTAATCGTTCGACCCAGGTAGAAAAATAAAATATGCAAAATATAGAAAAATCTTATTTCTTAATTTGATGAAATATATTTATAATTTCCCACATAATTTATATAATTAAATTTAATAAAATGATGTCATAAGTAAGGGTAAAAATGAACATGAGCTAAAATGTCCGTTTTCCGAGGGTTAATGAGTTTGTGTTCGAAACTATTCGTAGTGTAATTAATAACGAATTATAAGTCGCAGGAAAAGGGGACGAGCGTAATTTTTTTCCTATATAAGAGCACAAGTTTCGAAGCATACGGTGAGTCAGAACAGTTCAACGAGAATGACTCAAAGCCGAGTTAGGCTGATAAGTGGATCGTTTCACTGAAAAAGGAAAGATCCTTCGAATGCCAGTGATCTACGATGGCCTATCGTCATCTATCGCGATCCGAGAACAGTCTTCCAGTATTCGACGAACGATTTCATAAACAATTCACGCAATTCTTGCGTAATAACGTTCATTTATTTTCTTTCCTTCTATTATCTATTTTTTTTTTTTTTTTTTTTTTTTTTGTCCCATAAGAACACGTATTATTTCAATTAAATTGTTGTCACGGTTGTCGTGCGATTAGCATATTAATTTGTCTAGCAAGTACCTAGCAGTGCACTTAATTAATTACGCACGATACTTTGTTCGTGGAAAAGAAACAGAAATAAATTATCCTCGACTGTTTTTATGATTATGAATCAAGTTAGACGATGACTTAATTTTGTAAAGCTTTATATCTCTCCTCGTAGGAAAATTTATCTGAATACGGAAACTGAGGTCGGACTTCCATGTCCGATTAATTATCGTTCTACCGATAACGTGTACCAATTTGTGGATGATTATTTTTTCAGATTATCGTGACCAAAATAAAACTTTCATATTAAAGAAACTATAAAATCGTCGAATTTTTCATTTGATTTGAAAGTTCATTTTAATACTTATAATTTTACCGAAAGCATCATGCACGGGAAAATAGAAGAAAAACAAAGTATTTACAGAAATCTTCATGCACCGAATCGAAGGGGGATGCTAGAAAATGATTTAGAAAATTGTAGACACCTAAAATGTCAATAACCATGATAACGAATATTCCACCAAATATCCTGAACACGCTTATCGATTTATTAATTTTCAAACTTAAGACGGTGCACTTTTATCGTTACTTGTAATTATTTGTATTGCTCGTGGCACTGTGAAGACACGTTTGCTGAATCTTAGAAGACACGTTTCCAAGAATGCCGTCCTGTTCCTTATTTTAATACTTTCAAACGTTTTTTATATCTTCAATGTGTATTCTCACTCTGTGCATGGACACTACGTGAATAGGAAGACAAACCAGTGTAAAAGAAAACATGTACAAAAACTTTGTTCAGCTAAAAATACAAAATATCGTGATATAAAAATACCCTGAACTATCAAAGAAAATATATACAATAGAATAAAACTAGAGTACAGTTTTAACCTACCATATACTCTAAACTATCAAAGAAAATATATACAATAGAAAAAAAGAAATTAGAAATACACTTTCAACTCTTAATTTTTTCTTTCAGGAAGTCAATTTATTATCCCTGTATTACTCTAATTGCTTCGAGGGGGATAAGGTCTAAAAAGAGAAATCCCTACAGATATGAATCCTATGAAGAAGTAAAAAGATTTAGTCATTAACTTACCGCATTTGATTTTGGCTTCGAGGCAGCAACGTATGCCAGATATTGGATTACTTTCTTCGTGTTTTCGGTTTTCCCGGCACCCGACTCACCGGTGCACAAAATCGACTGGTCCTCACGGTCTACAGAAGGGAACGAACTCGAGTGAATGCACGGAGGAGCGAATAAATATATCGATGATGGAATAAAGTAGAGGTCGAACAAACAAATGGACGAATCAATTACCTTGAAGCATGGAACGATATGCGGTGTCCGTAATGGCGAAAACATGGGGTGGAACCTCGTGTCTCTTAATACCCTTATACCTTTCCATTATCTTTTCCGTGTAAATTGGCAGCCTCTTGTATGGATTTACCACCACGCAGAACAGCCCCGAGTACGTCTGGAATCATACCACCGATCATGAATTGACGAATGGTCAACGACAACAATTTTTCAACGGAGATAATCATTTTTCTTGAAATATTTTTTTTTATATTTTACTTATTGTTGGATAAACTTGTTACTTAATGACCTCCGCGATGATACACGAGGCAAATACATATGTAACGTTTGTACCGCCACTTCCTACGTAACGAGTTCAGGGTTAACTAAAATAAATACGCGTAAACCGATTACTTAAAAAATGTTACAAGTTGAAGGTAATCGTAGCTTGCCGAGCACGTTTTTCAATCTGTCGTTGAACGTCGTACAACGTGGGAAGTGCATATCTCTGGTTTAATGCAAGAATGTCATATTTTTGCAAAAGTCAATAAACAATATATTGATATATTGCATACAGGGCTGAATTAAGGCTATTTTCCATGTTTTTGCGCCCTCCTATCGTGTCGAAAAATGCCAATCAGCATTTGTCTTAATTTATGTTTTTTAATGTTAAGTAACGGGATTACGCTTTACAGAAAATAATTTAATTGTATTAATTTGCTTTTTAAAAATTATAATCTTTTTTTCTAATGTTTTGATTTTTGCTTTAGTTAATGAGTAATATAAAGAGAGGGAAAGCTGAAACAAATTCATTTTTCATGTCTCAAAGAATAGAAAAAAAGAATTTTACATTTTGGCGCTCAAGTTATTGCCTCATTAGCTCGCCACTTAAGTCGGCCCTAATTGCATATAGATAATGATAATTTCAAATTCTATTTAGAAATGTTGTCGTTTGTCATTTTAAGAGTGGAACCTTGAAACATCATCATTATTTTCTGGAGAAGCGAAAATCAAAAAATTGATAATATAATTAAAAAACTAAAACTAGAAGCCAATTATAACAAAAATGGAACCGTGTTCAAGTTTGTTTCAATTATTAATTTAAATCATAAATCATCACTTAATAATATACATGCTCCTAGAAAAGAAGAAAATAATATTCACCGTTCAGTTTTATTTTACAATAAACTATTGTTAAAGACGCGAGCCACTCGAAGAAGTTGCGTAGCGTACACATTAATCCAGTGATTTGCTACATACGCGTTGCACTTTAACCATCAATAACCCCATAAATTGATAAACGGCCACAGTGAATAAGCGAACGAGCAAGAACAACGAAATCGAGATACGTACTTTTCTTTTTTTACTTGAAAATCGCATTCCGGATAAACGTATCGCGGAATGTATATTTTCCTCCTCCTCCTCCTCCTCCTCCTACAATTTTTCAATAATTCCTACGAGATCAATCATAGCCATGGGTTGTTACTTTTGTCGAAAGCTTTCTTTTTCACTTCGATGAATAATTTACGAGTTAAACGGAACGAAAAGCCGATGGTATGCGTCACCATTTCGGAAAGATGAGCAAGCGGATCGGTTTACACGTTTACACGAGTTCATGGTGATGTGTAACCACGAAAAAATGTCAAGTAGGAAACGTTCAACGAGGATTTCATAAATTCTTCTTTGATTTTTGTTACCGTACGCTATTGCACAAGCGAACAAATAAGACCTGAACGCGTACGAGAAAATATATTTTAGAAACAAGCGTTTCACGTTGACGAAAAATGTTCAAGTAATTCATTGTCCGATAAATGGCACCGGTAGTCGTTTGATAAGAGGTTAAATAACTTTGCTCCGTATGGTATCGTTGATAAGAGAACAGCTTTCCGGTATATTCGGTGGAATATAATATAATTAAATAATGAGCTAATAATCGGTAGATACGATCTGATTATTACACGATAATACTTATTCAATGTTATTTCTCAATTGTTTTTAAAATAATCTTATTAAAATCTTGGATCTTTAAATTTCTATTAATTGATAAATTCTAATTAAATTTTAATTAACACTAGAACTATCAAACCAGTCGAAATGATTAGTTTCAAGTTCTTATTTTAAATTATAAATTTTATCGAGGTATTTTTATTTAAATGTTTCATCCTTTATCTATTTAATTTTCTACATTGTTTTTAATTTCAAAATAAGCGTACATGAAACGTCGGTAGTTCTAGTGTCAAAGGAAAATTGTTTCTCTTTTTTTTTTTTGTAACAAGAAGAATGAAGGTAACCGAAATTGGACAAAGTCTCAATGCAAAGTAAGGATCCACGGCTATTTTGTTCCCTTTTTTTAAAACAGAACTCTCTCTGCTCGAAGGTCCCCGAAACCGGTCTCCAAGAGTGTCGTGTCGTCGACCTGCCCAACATTCCTGGTTATAGCTCACTAACAACCACCGGCTCTAACTCCCTCTTCGAGAAAACTGCATCTCTCTTAACTTTGTTACACAAGAAAATGAAAAAAGAAAAGGTATCCTAATATCGTTTCTAATACAAACGTAGCAAACAAAGATTGTATAGTAAGAAAATGAATTTCTGTACATCAGTTAGGGAAACAAATATCGGTGCAACAGAGCGGGCTGAAAATTTCATCACGATTTTTTGCCTGATGATCCAAGGAGAGTAAATAAGAGAATACAGAAAATACGATAAGCAAAGTCGGATAAGAACGAGTGGAAGAAGGAGTGTCGTCGATTCGAGCGAATACATATCCCAGAATCTGTGCGGTTTCGTCAGAGTTCGGTTTCTTTCCTAAGAAGACCGAAACTCCTGCGTTGACTATAAAAGGCACCGAGTTCTCCAGTGAAACTGGCTCTTTCTCTTTCCCTCTTTCGCTGTTTTGCTCGTCACCGGTGTATTACACGGAGACAACGTTTACGGTACCGCGAGGAAGCGGGTTAAGGACACTACGTCCTTATAAGGACTCCTCCTTGATCGTTCTCTTTCTCTTCTCTCCTCTCCTAAATTCGATAGACCGAAACGTTCAAGTAATTCGAAAATTTTCTTCCATAACGGCTTGCTCTTGTTTCGTTTCGACGAATAAACCTTGCCCCGCCCCGCCGGGCGTTTCACTCGATTTCGTTTAGCGAAATTACTCAACTCGAACGACTATTTTACTAAACGAATTAAGCGCATTCGACGCACGTAACGAGAATATAAAGACGAACAATTATTAAAATTATAAGTAAAAAAAAAGGAGAAATATGTATCCTTTATATAGCATTAAAGGCAATCGTAACATTCTTTTATAGTTTTCACAGTTTCACTCCTTTTGAAGGTATCTATTGATAAAGAACCATCTATTGATAAAGAACCTTAGGATATCTACCAGATGTTATTTAAAAGATTTTAATATGTCCATTATCTTTTGGACCATTGGGTCGGAACACGCGACATATGTATATCGCGAATCGAAAGAAGAAAAATCAGCACATACGAGGCACATGCATGACGTCATTCTCTGCTGTCCTAGAATGCTTGCCATACGTAAGCAGATATTTCTATATCGTAAGGTCCAATAAAAACCGCGATTCTTTTAATTAATACCAACTGATGAAACAGCGCGCGATCTTCAATTCTGTTCCTTATAATTTTATCTGGAATTGATTTGTTTTTTCTTTTTCAATTTTCAATGATTTCATACTTTGGATGGAAACGTTATTATATACTATACATTTGATAAAATATAATTTGTAAAATAGAAGATAATTGAAACGATTCATTTATAAAGGAACGACGACTACATATTTCAAAAGAATACTACAACATTCGGAAAGAACTAAAAATTACGATGAGTCAATGTTACGTGGAAATAAGGCACAGCCGTTATCAGTCTTTATGATAACAGTGAAGAAACGAAGTATAGTCGAGTTACAGATTGATTCACATTTAAATTCTATCTTTGTACAAATCTATTCCGATACTTGGTCATTTCGATGCATATTTAGATTTTCATGGAATTTTATCAGTCTAACGCCGTCCTATGTCGTTTAACTACTGATAGTAGTAGCGGAATTAACGGTACTGTTAATATTTATCAAATTATCTTTCCTTGTACTTCTAAATTTCATATCGAAAATGACAGACTCGTTATCAGCAGATTCCTTAGCGTGGTTCAACGAACAAAAACAATATCTGAAAATAACATTCATAGAATTTAATTATTCAAAATTACTTAGCTTTTATTATGATATATTAATAATATTAATAGCGTGCACTTATCGTAGCTATCTGAACGGTATCGTATTAAAATATGTCCTAGAATTATATCCTTTGTCTAATTTGTAACCTAACGCAAGCAGATTTACTTGTTAAGTATTTTTAGATTTAGAAATTTATTAATATATGGAATATTGTATAGGAACAGATTTATGCAACGCTTAAATTCATTAATTATTTATGAATGGAAACGAAATTTTTTTTCGACAATCACAAGTTTTTATCTCTTTAATTCTATTTTTAGCATTGTTTTATAGCTGTTTATTTTTACTTCTTTCCAGAATAAAGCGCTTAAATGCTGACGAGAAAAAAAATGGTACTTTGCATGTCATCATTATTGATGATACAGAGATACGATGATAAGTGAACGCGATTTCGCCAGTAAAATACCAGAAATAGATGATTCTAATTAAAAGTATACTGGGGGAGGGCAAGAAAACTTAATCACAACAACGCGAGATAATTAAATTCAGCAAGAGCCTTGAGTTAGGTCAGTGCTTTGTTTACAGACGCGTTTGATTTACTTTGAATCTCTCGTTTCTAACACAAGTAAAAATTAGAAAAAAAAAAGAACCGATCGATTCATTCTTATGTAATCGTTAGAATTAAAATTTTCAGAAACTATCTCGGATTATACGTTTCGATTTTCAATAAATATTGACACTGAAAGTATAGCTGAAATTTGGTAACAACAATAATTAACATTTAACTAAAATTACAGCAATATTTTGAAATTATAATTATTTGAAAGTACGTGACTAAACACATTTTGAAACAAAATTTTATTCACAAAAGTGAACTTTAAACATCAGCTGTGCTAAACCTGTTATGGTCAAATGTTTTCTTCTTTCCATAGTTTCAAATGTGGATGATAAATGCATTTATCTCATAGTATCTATTGATCCTTTGATAAATGTAAGATAACTATAATCAGTCTATCTGTATATCAGTAGTAATTTACTTTTTCTATTGATAATTAAATTAATAAATTAATTGAAATTTTGTTATTTAACAAATGATCCAGTTTATGAGTGACTTTAAACTTAACATTTTACAACTGTCTTTACAAGAACAGAACAAGTACTAACAAAAGGAAAAAGGAGAGAAGAAAAAGAAAGAAGGATCAGCCTTTTCGATGATTCCAATCTTTCAACCATTTCTGAATTACCTATTTTGTTTTTACTTTTCTGGAAAAAAAGAGAAATTGTAGATTTGTTGAGGGCAAACACCTTGAAATTTTCTGTTGACAGTATTAATAACAAAAAATAAAGGAAATCTGTCAAACTCACGTAAATCAGGCCGGAGTAGTATCTGTCTTTGAGGTTATGCAGTACGGAGGCTTCGTTCAGGCACGTTAATTCAGCCATATCTTCAACTTTATCGAATTTCGGTGGATTCATCTTTTGAATATCATCTTTTGCAACGAGAACTCGTTTTCCAGTTTCGGCAATCTCCACCTCGACCTCGTCACCCCGTTCACCCTTTATCCCGGCTGCAACGAAACCCTGGGTTTCGTGCGGAACCCAAACGAGCTTCTTTTGTGTCCATTCCGCCTGTGTTGCGGGATCATTGAAATTATTCCTGTCAACGGAAAGAAACCGCAATTCGGGATCCGAATGATCCACCCTCGAGTCAACGTCCGCCATTTTTGTTTTTGAGATCACGAGCAGCTCCTCGAGCCGGCTTCAGGGACGGGCGATTCCAAGGACGATCCTCGATAGACTGAACTTTTTGTCGCAAGGACACACATGTAACTATCCAACACTCGTTTTCACGTTCTTTTCGAGCGTTTATCGTACGCTGCTGGTGCAAGTAACTTCAGCTTGATCGGATTTCGACGATTCGTGGCTCGTTCTTCTTCGAGGCACCGTGTTCTTCTACCACCTTCAACGCTCTTCGAGATTGTTTTCTTTCTCCTTCTTCACGGCCATCTTCTTTCCTCCTTATGCAAGCAACGATAGGGGGGGATGTGATTTGAAGGTATGCTGCATAGTAGCGCTCATATCGCTGAATGACGTGTTTCCAAAGAAATTTCATTGGCTAGAAAGCATATACATTGACCAATCAACCGATAGAAAATCCTTGTTTGTATGAAAATGTGAATTACTGTTTTATCATAAACCAAGTATCTTCATTGTAGTTTGTTTGTCTGCATGATTTTAAATGAATATGTAGTATGAATCCATAATGTATGTAGATACATGCATATAAATCTTTTTAACCGTTAACCGAGAACTGTGTTAAACAATGTTTATAATGCAACATTGTAATAAAAACATATGTATGAAATGGACTTTAACTGATAAATTTTTATTATCATGAATATTATTACATTTAATAACTAAGACTTACAACTTTTCCTGATCCAATTATACCATATTTTTATGTAAACTGTATGGTTTCAAAAATAAAAAACAACTGGAAAATGAAAATATCTTTAGAAAAGTTATTACAACAATTAAACAATATTTTTACAGACTTTCAAATGTTTTCAACGATAAGAATTGTCCGTTATTTCAACTGTTAGTCATAGGTTATATACAACAATTATTAAATACACATGCGCAATTGAAACCATGGAATAAACAGCATAGAGAACGTTTTTACTATTTACCATTTAAATATAACTTTGGTTTAATACGTTTATTTTCCATATTATTCTTGAAGACCAACAATTTCTCTACCAATAATTGATATTAATCTTGTTTTAGTTGCTTGTAAGTTACCCGACTATAGTTAATCCTACAACTTGAATTGTACATATGTAAGTACATATCTCAAATAAACTGATTAGAAATTTGATCTCTGTTCCATCTATACAAAAATGGCGGAAACTACTCAACAATGTATGTACTTACCAACCAGTTTTTCGAAATTAGGTGGATTAGTAGCACCATCTATTAAAAAATAGCGGAAACTATTTGTTAGCTTATCGACTGATCTTCCTACACTACTAAATCTTGAGGATGTTATTATTTGCATGTATACATTGGAAGTTATAAAGGTGCACACTTTGCGTGGACCACCCTTATGTAGGCGCATAAAAGAAAAGTAATGAATTAGGAAGGCGGCAACATACGTATGTCATGCATGTATTTAAAAGTCAGTAAAAATGATAATAAGTTGGGCAACCATTTATAAGAAATTTATCGCTTTTGAAACGCTATTTATGGGAAAATTACTAAACACTTATTAATATGTATATATTTTATCAACGCATTATGTATAATTTATCGGCGGCCTTAGCTATATAAGATTTGCTGGACGGAAATTAAGCCACGTCGGACACATAGTTTCATCTTCAGATGTGCGATTGACGTACTTAAGGGAAATAATATAGATCCGCCTAATATTATTACATCTTTATAAAATATTACAGTACAAGTTATATACTGTACAATAATTTATAAATTATTTTAAGTTGATACATCTTATAACTTGCTTATGCAATACATACTAAATATTTCACTTATATTTATTTCTTATTTTATATAGGTGATTGTATCCAACAAAATTATATAACTTGGCAATTCTCAAGCAGCAGGTAACTTAAAAAGTAAATAATTTAGCAAATCATGTATTATCAGAACAATTCTCCAAGTTCAACTTCTAATGACCATCATGTAAGATACAATACATAAAATTATTTAATAATCTGTATTTCATAAGATTTTAGACATAATGAAACACAATTTTTGTAGACAACAGTCATTGACCTCAGGAGTGATACTTTCACAAAACCAACAAAAAGAATGAGAGAAGCAATGTGTAATGCCGAAGTTGGTGATGATGTTTATGAAGAAGATCCAACTGTAAAAGGTATTGATATTTTTACTGCAAACTGCAATAATATGTGATTTGTGGTATTTTAATTCTGTTAAAATTAACATAATACTTTAGATATAATATAATTATACTTAGATATAATACTTTAGATATATATTACTTATATAGAAATTATTAATTGCTAGAATTAGAAAAAAAAGCTGCTGAGATGGTTGGAATGGATGCTGCAATATTTGTATCATCTGGTACTATGGGAAATTTAATTGCCAGTAAGTATGAAAGAATAAATTTGTCCTAAGTTAAACTTTCAACCTAGTTTCAAGTTGTAACAATTAAATTAATTAATTCCAGAAAGCATTATAAATTTAATTGTATTTAATTTTGTTTTTTATCATATTGCATCACTTTCAGTATATCATACATATATGTATGTTGTATAAATGATGCTTTTGTACATAGTATTTGTTTTGTATGTATACATTTGTATTAAATTATAGTTATGAACCATTGTGACGAGCGAGGCTGTGAGGCATACTGTGGTGAATTTGCTCATTGTTTATTACACGAACAATGTGGTGCTGCTCAACTTGGTGGAGTAAATCTACGACCATTACGAAGTAATGAGGATGGCACGTTCGATTTTGACGAACTTGAGTCTAAACTTCATAGAGACAGAGATCACGAACCCATCTCGAAATTAGTGCTTGTGGAGAATACATTAAATGGAATGATTGTTCCACAACGTTGGATTAAAGAATTAGTGCAGTTTTGTAAAAATCATGATTTAAAATTACATATGGATGGAGCTAGATTGTGGAATGCATCTGTAGAATCTAACACACCTGCAAAAGAGATTGTTTCTGGTTTTGATTCTGTAACCTTCTGTCTTAGCAAAGCTTTAGGTATTATTTTTTAACTTTTCTTCCCATACTTTATTCTTCATAGTAATTACGTTTACTTTATACACATAATATTTCAATTTAGGTGCTCCTGTTGGTGCCCTTCTTTGCGGAAACAAAGAATTTATTAGCAAAGCAAGAAGAGTAAGAAAAGTGCTTGGTGGTGGTATGAGACAAGTCGGTATTCTTGCTGCAGCTGGATTCATAGCTCTTGAAAATATTCCAAATTTAAAAGACGATCATCGAAAAGCTTACACTCTTGCTTCTTCGATAAACGAAATGCAATCAAAACTATTTTCAGTCGATTTAAATACTGTACAAACAAATATGGTTTTTGTGAAAGTTGATTCCAATGTTGTTCCCCCAACGACATTTGCTAATTGTTTGCGCGAAATTGATGACGAGCACGATGAAGAGAGGATTATCATAAAATGTCTAGTTTTAAACAAATCATTCATTAGATTTGTATTCTCCTTTGAAATTACGGATCATCAATTAGAGTTGGCTATTACAAAAATTAAACGTGTTATATCAATGTTAGATCCTGGCTTGTAATTGTTATTGTTTGTATGTATAATAATGAGTTAATATAAATGATGTTATTCAAATTCATAAAATCAGTTCACCAGAGTCCATAACTGCGACGCGCAGGTTGGAAAATGAAGGGGGAACGCAGCGAGCTCTCTGCTAATCGCTTTCCACTTCGTTTGGGAGTATCGCCAATCAGGGCGAAGATGCGTACTGGAGGTGCGCGAAGAACGAAAACTGGTCTTTTCGCAGTTATGGACTCTGGTGAACTGCGGTATATGTGAATAGCAATGAATACGTAACCTTTCATACCTAACCGTGATCGTATATATACACGTGTATTTCATACAAATAAATAGTTTAATAAAATGAGTTTATTTGTAATAAACAGGTAAGTGTAATAAGAGATAAGGTACAGTAATAAGCTTGATTATTACTATCCTAATGTTTATTTCTACATGTTATTACGGAATTGATTGAAACCGGCGTTGTAACTCTATGAAACCTCCAACTTTGTTAAGCTTACTTTTAAAGTTATTATATGTTTGAATAGGTACGAAGGTGAAAAGGAGGTGGAAACTAAAACTGAAAATAAACAATTATCAGAATTATTAAAAAGAATAGAAGAACGTAAAAAAGAAAGGGTTATTAAAAAGGAAAATGTGCAAGATGTAAAGGAAGATGACCGTAAAAGAAAAAAAAGAAAAATAGAAGTATCTAAACAAGATCCATTAGAAAATACTTTTGTTAATGAAGATGCTAGTCAGAATAATGTTGAAACACAGCTTGTACACCCAGAAAAATTGCATAAAAAGAAGAAAAAGAAAAAGAAAAATGTTCATAACATAGAAAATAATGTAAATTATGAAGGTACTGAGGGTGACAATAAAGGATTGCAGGAAGCAGTTATGGATGATCAAAAAAACATGTTGTTAAATAAATCTGCAGATGTAAATAATGTACAGGAGCAAAGTGATTTTATGGTGTTAGGTGTAAAAAGTAAAAGAAAAAAGTATGAAGTGAAGAGAGTATTACCAGAATGGTTGGCTAATCCAAATATTATATCAAATGATTTGAACGATGGTCCAAGCATAGAGAGCTTGAATTCAGTTTTAGATGCTAAACTTATTCAAGTTTTAAAAGCTAATGGTATCAATAAATTATTTCCTGTTCAAGCTAGTATGATAACTTGGTTATTGAAATGTAACGAGGATAAGCAACAAGGATGGTGGTTACGAGATACGTGCGTATCTGCTCCTACAGGCAGCGGTACGAGCATACAGGACAGTGATGTTCAGCAGAGCTTCGAGTTTCCCATACTCTGTGTTTCCTTCCTTTAAATAGATTGCGATAAAACAAGGAGACACAAAGTAGGAAAAGCCCAAAGCTTCTCTGGATGTAACTGAATGTAGAATATCTTTAATATAGTTATGTTAATACTTGCAAAAGAAAACATAAAATTAATACATTAATATTTGTTTTTTTTTAGGTAAGACTTTGGCGTATGTATTACCAATTGTGCATATATTACAATCTCGATTAGTGCCAAAAATACGTTGCATAGTTGTTGTACCTGTACAAGAATTGGCTGCACAAGTTTACAAGGTGATGGTTGCGTACACATCTCACACAACTCTCACAGTTGGTTTGCTTTCTGGAGCTTGTTCGTTTCAACAAGAACAAAGTAACATTCTAAGAATGAGTATGTATCCGCTTATCCTAGAAATTCGATAGTAGTTATCCTGTCTACATCGTATACAAAGTGTAGTACAGGGTGATCCTCTCGCTATTGGACCCGAAGTGCCACAACAATAGAATGAAGAAGTCGACATCCCATTTCTGTCATCGCTTACTTGAGGAGGTGGCCCCTGCAGCGAAGACGGCAGAAATAAGATGTCGACTTCTTCATTCTATTGTTGCGGCACTTCCTTTGGGTCCAATAGCGAGAGGATCACCCTGTACAATTTCCAATTTGAATCTCTGTTCAAGATGCTCGAGGGGAATACGTTCCTGCAGTAGACATTATCGTTGCTACACCGGGGCGCTTAATCGATCATATATTAAAAACACCAGAATTTTCTTTAAACGATCTCAGATTTCTTGTTATCGATGAAGCTGATCGAGTCGCAGATTGGTTGGAATATCTTCCCGAACCTCATAATCGTGCTGCAAGATTAACGCTCTTCGATCTACGCTGCGGGTAAATTGTTTTCGCATTTTCGAATTGATTTTTAGTCGCATTCTGTATCAATTGAATTTCCTATAATGATATTTTAATTTCTCAATAGCAAAGCCCCCGTGCAGAAACTGTTGTTTAGTGCCACCTTATCGCAAGATCCTAAAAAATTGAATCACCTTAGACTGTTTCAACCAGTATTGTTCACATCCGTTGTGGTGTCAGGCAAAGATACCGATGTGAATTTAGACATGGAAGTGGGTAATTACATAGGCCGTTATACAAGTCCCGATGGATTAACAGAATACGCGGTGGAATGTATAGCAGAGTATAAACCTGTTGCTCTATACGACCTACTAAACAGGAATAATACAATCAGTAAAACCTTAATATTCACAAATTCTGGTGAAACTGCTCATAGATTAAGTATTTTACTTGGATCGTTGTTAGCTGAAAAGAATGTAACAATTGGGAAGCTTTCGGCACAGCTTAAGCCCAAAGAACGCGAACACGTCCTTGGGAAGTTTATTACTGGTGAAGTTAAAATGTATGTATTATCTACCTACCATTAGATTAATATGCGAATTTCAGTGAATTTTATTAAAATAATGTTTTATTACCGTTTACAGACTTATAAGCTCAGATGCGCTAGCGCGAGGCGTGGACATTCCAGATATACATACGGTTGTATCTTACGATCTTCCTAAGCATATTAAAGGATATATTCATAGAGCTGGAAGAACAGGACGTGCTGGTAAATCTGGCATAGTGATATCTATCCTGACATCGAAACAAGTTGGAATATTTAAAGATATGTTGAGCAACGTTCATAAAGCGGTACCGCGCATCGAAAAATTGGAGTTGAATTCTGTCGCAGATTCAATAGACTATTCGAGCCATGTTAAAAAGTTAAAGGAAACGCTGGAAGAAGAAAAACAACGTAATTTATTACGAACGAAATCTGTTAAACGAATTCAGCCTATAGTTAAGGAATGAAAAACATAAACAATTTTTGTACATAAATAATGATATAAATATTTCAAATTAATATAGCTATATTTTTATAACTTTAAATATATGTGTGCACAGGTTGGTTATCAAGAATCTGTTGTTCAATAATCTAGTAGTTTATAATACTCTTGTAAGTGTTTCATTGTCATAGTATTCCACAAACATTCCGATTCCCCGTTCGTAGGGATAACATTCTGCATGTACGCTACATACAGCTCGAACGGGCAATAATTTTGCAGGCATTTAGGAATTTTGTAAGGTATCAATTCTTCTGTAGTGCCAATCCAAAGATACATCTGTTGAACAATTTTATAGCGTTAATTATTATCATGGAAAATGTTTGATTTCCACGGCAGTGAAAATAAAAAAAACGTATGTTTAGAAAATTCAGATTTTTGAAAGCAAGTATACTTATCGTTAGTTGAATAAACAGGGATTATGTTGGAAAACATACTCGAATAAACCGTACACCGAGCGGACTTTTTAAAGTCTCAACTATAATTGCAGATCCGTAAGTCGGTATCTTCGGTTCGGTGAAACCGTTCGCTTTGGCAAAACCAGCAATATTGAGGTCATGCCCACTGTATAAGTAAATCTTCGGTCCGGTTTTATCCGTTTTGTTACGTATATTTTCAATGAATCGTTTTACAATCGGACCGCCGTTTAGTCGCTTCATTTGCGTGGTATACGATTGAGTTTCAAAATCTAACCGTACTATTTCTTCCATACGTTTTTGAACGTTCTCGGTGGCCCATTCCGGCAGAGAAATGTTCATGCTACGCTAAATGTTACATTATTTTATTTTTAAATCACTTTTAAAACATATTGTGAAAATTAGGATTTTGAGAATTTCTGCTTCTCCTATATCGCCATTATCTCTCGGGAAGCCTACTTTGCTCGATACTGTACATACCTGTGATACCAAGAGTTGGTAAAGTGTGGTTACCATCATGATCGGATCGTCCCTGCTATTGCCAGTTTCTTTATAAAGATGTTCTAAAAGATCATTGTATTCCGATAGTTTTTTGACAATTGCAGCCGACTTTTTCACCCTTTGCAATTCTTTCACGTATCTAATATAATAATTTATTATTATGTAATTTAATTGTAACGTTGCATTAGATTTGGACGATAAATTTCGGCTGACAGGATAAGAAAGGTACATGATCGGTGCATGTGTGGTGTATACCTACGTTGGACAAAGCTGCGAGAACAGTACAGTGTCTAAAAGGCTTGGATAGTAGAGTGTTGCTACGGGAGACCAATGTATTTGGTCCCGAGCCTCGTTTGTTGCCGGTGGGTATAGTCCGTTCAAAACCAGCTGTAGGGATATTTTTGTACGATCAAAATCTGTACTGATCGCATAAACTTCGCCATAGTGAGCTTTACCCAAAAATTTATCATACCGTTGTCTCAACATCTTTCCAAGACGATGCGCCCTCATTTTTCCTACCTATGAACGAAACAAATGTAGACCTGTAGGTGTATGTACCTACTTTTCTGAATCATTTAATATTTTTCAATTTCTATAGCAGTGTCAGTAATAAATAAGAATAAAGAAAATTAGACTTAATATTATAATGATGCTAATAAATTATGCAAAACAGATTTTTTTGACCCCCTATTAGACAATTATGGTTACGCCACTGTGTGTAAAGCTAATATATTTAACTACCTGTTTGCTTGAAAATAAATTGGGTCTGTTGCTTGAATAAAAAACTGCTTTAATAAATAAATCAATGAAACGTAAAGCCTATTTACCTCGGTTAATTGGCCGTACCCAAGCGTCTCATAGATGTGATTGGTAGGTAATTTAGGATAGGTTTCTTTTTTATTGGGTGTTCGATCCCCATGTCGAAATAACTGTAAATCAGGTATAAATAGATATAAATTTTAAAAATAATCAGATTTTATATGAACTCTCAGTTCTTGATAACTAAGCACAGGGATTATTTGCAAAAAGTAACGGATTAATTGAAGGTGACGGTACAAATGCCGAGTTGTATTTCAAAATTGATTAAAACAGTCGGTCGATCATCGACTTGTTTACTTATCGGGAGAATTTCCGATATTCGTTATTGCTGAAGATAGGAGTACGCGTCACAAAGACTACGCTTGATGTTAGAAGATTTGAAAGAGCACGTGTAAAAAGAAAAAAGAAATTCTTTGTAAATATTAATTTATAAATTTTAAGTTTATGCTTTCCTAGATAGTGAAGTAAATATTAATTTACAAATTCGAATTTTATACTTCCCTAAACAATGAAAAGGCAATAATTAAACCTATTAGGTTTAGGTATTATTACTACTAGGTATTATTAAACCTATATGAAGCTACTAAAAAGAATTACGTTATAAAAGGGTGACACGTTTTATTATTTAATATTATTACAATATTACACGACGTCCTACATTAATTAATAAAAGAATTTTCAGAAACTGTTTATATTTATGACATACAAATGAATGTATTTACTAATGTAAAAATTGTTCACATATACTTACAATTTGCACTAATTCAAGTTCGACATTTGCCGTAACAAATTGAAGGAATAAAGCTAACAACAAAAGTATTTGCAAATATCTAAACGATTTGATGAAAACCATTATTGTAACGTTATACACGAATGTGAGTGAGCAGAATTGAATTTATTGGAAATAAAGGAAATGGAAACACTGTCGCTCTCACAATTCGTACTATGTATATGTCAAAAAAGAAATATCATTTATAACTCTGATTACGTGAATAGGAAGCATTACTGATTATTCGATAAAATGGAAGGAGGGACGTTTCACTATTCGAAGTAAAATCGTTTTGATCGTATCTACAAAAGTGGCTGGTATTGATGTAATTAAGAGATTGGATAATTAAATCGATGTCGACGTTGTAGGTACATCTTGTTTCGAGTCACTCGATCATAATCATGATTATGATTTCAGAATCATTTATTATTTATTATTATATTCAAAAATGCATAAATCAGTGGCGCAACCATAATTATCCGGTAGAGGGGGTCAACCAAAGTTTTATTAGTATGTATAGTGATAATATTAAGTCTAATTTCCTTCATTTATGTTAATTTTTGATTACGTTTTCCGAAATTTTCGAAAATATTCCATTTATTTAAAAGAAAAAAAAGAGTAATTTCTTAACACGTTCCCTGCCATGCGTGCCGTTTTCGGTATATGTACTTTGAACTTCTTGCTCATGCTATATTTTTGCTATTAAAGAGTTGACAGTCGCGCACGCTATGTCGCGTGATCGGACCTTTAGCCAGTGACACCGTCAGGTATAGCAGGGGACGTGTTAATAAGGGAGTCAATTGATCTTTCTGCTTCTAAACGGACCATCGGGAGTTTGAGAAAATTCCCGGTAAGCCGAAAGGAATTTACAGCCTAATTATGTAGTTAAAATTAGGGCTCGTTATATCTCTAATCTCCTGGTAAAAATTTAAGTCTCACTCCGCTCCTTGAATTATGATAAGTATAATATAGTAGTATCGGTAATAATACATTTTGATAAATCTATATCGATCAAAACTCGTTATTTTTGTCGTTTATTTAATCAGGTAAGTACATTTACATCGTATACGTCCAGTACCACTTCACGTTTCACATTTACGCTAACATGCTGTTTAATAAAATTTGTTGATATAATCATATTAATTATTAAATTACCACGTGATATCGCACGTGATGAATTGGTGAAAATACTTATCATAATCAATTACAGCAAGCGATAATAGTTATTTACGTCTCCGACAAAACGTACGCAGTAAGGTGTATGATGGATAGCTTTACTTCAATAACGATATCAAACGTCGGTTCTACACTGTATGTACATACAGTAGGTAACAAAATTATTCGCTAAACGTTTAAAACAGAATACCTCATTTAAAATTGGACCAAATGACGAGGTTTCTCGAGAAGCTATACAAATTAATTTACTACGATATGTGCTTTTGTCGTTTTAAAAAATTACAATTTGTTGAAATCATGAAAAAAAATAGTGAAGGGTAATTTTTTAACTTTTTTGTGTGAGTCTATAATGAAAATTTAAAATATGTCTTTCGTAGATTCAAATAAGTTATGTGCGTGCTGAAAATTCCATCGAGATCGGTCAATGCACTTATTGTTAGAAGTTACAAGTAATTAAAATTTCCGAAAATTGTGACTTTTAATTACTTGTAACTTCTAAGCGCATTGACCAACTTCGATGAAATAACACACTTAAATTTACAAATGTCATATTTTAAATTTTACATACACTTACGTGTCTTGGACTTCAGGCTCTGTTTTATTTTTAATCTAACCAATTGAAACAAAACGCAGTTTGATAATGAAGAAAATCTGAATGAAAATCTAAATTATCGATACCTATCCTATTAGAAGTTATTAGAAAATGAGTGAAAGAAACTTCGTTTGTCTGTTTGTTTACGTTTACGTTTATCAGAACGACGTGGCGCTTCGATAGGGTAACCTATTAAATAAAAAATTAAAAGTAAAAGATAAAAATTGTTTATCGATCGCTTAAATATATAAAAAGATGACTGTAGATACTTCATCGAAAACCCAAGCTACATTTTATCCAGCCTCGTTAATGCCACCCTTCATGGGCGCTCATCCTCCAACCAAGTTAGATACCATTTCGTACGATGGGATGAGTATCAATTATTTTCAAAAGTATAGGACTGAAACATTGTCAAAATTCTCGGTAAGTTAATTTTCTCAACGTTCTGACGTTTAATTATTACCAGCCAATTGTGTTTATTTATTATTGCTAAACTGTTTTATTATTGCTAAATCCTGTCATTTTCTTTATCGAAGATACCACGATATCAATGGGGAATGCAAGAGCCATCGTACGGTGCGCAACCTGAAATCATCGCGACCACAAAGCGTCGAAACATTAATCGTGATTTAATGCTACCCTCGAACGACATCTCCACTATCGACGTAATTCGCATGAAGGAAGTCGATGACTTGTATAAGGTAGTGAAATCTGTGCCAGAAACCTAGGCCTCGCCAAGTTCACTAACCGAGAGGGGCCATCAAAGGTCTGGTAGCTCCAGGCCCTAGAAATCTTAATTTGATCCTGATTTTAACGATGCTAGTAATATCGTAATATCTGTATTTTTATAGGGAATACAAATTCATCGCAGTCAATATAAAGATCGCACTGGAACCTTCCATCCCTTAACGTACTTTAAACCCGATTATTACAAGTATCAATGTGCACCAGGAATGACAACGTCGTATATCACGAAATATCCTGAAAATTATATCTCCTATAAGACACCTATAGTGCTGCCCCTTACGTATGGCAGACGGAAAGAAATACCTAACACGACGGATTTATCTCTTTCTGGCATTTACAATAAGACGAGTTGTATCGCTTATAAACGATAGCTCGAAGAGGGTACTGGAAGCTGAAACTTTGAATATTTTCTGCTTAGATAAAAAGTATGTGTATTTATATTTTTACATATTTACAATACGCGTGTACAACATCGAGCATGGTAGGATCCTCCAGAGAAAATGGCAATGACCCGACCATAAGTTTTACCCCGGGCTTACGGGCTCCCATCCTACCTCATTTGTGGCTACGAGGAGAATAACGGAATTTGAATGTATATAGGTTTGTGGCCTCCCACCACTAGCGTATGAACGTTTACGCGGGAGAATTTGAATTCATATATTATATTTCTTATTTTCTAAAACAAATTTAATATCATTATCATTAAAATTAAGGTTTTGAGAATTTCTGCTTTACCTGTAACGCCATTTACTCTAGGGTTATCTACTGTGCTCCATACTCAAATCTACTTCAAGCAAAAAATGAAAAATGATTCAAACAGAATTAATTTATAGAAACGTTAGCTTTTCGTGGAAATGATATAATTCATAGTTAATTATGCATTAATACGCGTGCGTGTACGAACTACGAACTGAAGCTGCATGTACTTTAATATGCACAATGAAGTCGCAAGGACAATTATCCTTTCGAAAGCGTGTTTAAATTGGAGCGTAATTAAATTTTGAAGTGAAACGTGGACGAAAATTCTGATAACCTCGAGGAATAGTGTAAAAATTCGTCGGGTGTAATACTTGCCAGTTCATTGAACAGTATTTCGTCAAGCACCTAGGATTAAAAAAGGAATCTGTTAATATAAATATGTAAATGATATATATGTATTTTAAGACGGTATATCATTGACTTTAATTATTTTCGCTTTGTCTTTGCGTTTTTCCGTGTGTACCTTTGTATAGAATGTATAAGAGGATTAAAGGGATTTTAAACAGAGGGTTAATACCTTTTCGTATTTTTCTTATTTTCAGTGGTGCAAAATTGTTCGTTGGTAAATTTGAAAAAGAACGAAAAGATTTAGTGGACTTGCTCTCAATCAACGCCACGTACGTTTAAAATCAATCTTTATCAATCTGACAGATTGATAGAGACCTGCGGTCGTTTTAAGAGACACCAAGATTTATTCGGAAAGTAAAAAATATAAAACTGATTTAGTCGATTAGCCGAGGATTAAAAACCGAGGAAATTTCTTTCGAGTAATCGATATTGGAAGAATAATTTTCAGAATTCAGAACAATAATAATAAATGACATTAAAATACTTTGTTACGTTTTGAAAATCATTGGCTACGATTATTTTTTCTCATAATTTTCTTTATTATCACCTGAGTTTGTTTTGTCGCGTTACGATGAATCCACGGGAAAAATGTTAAACGTAAAAGTCTTACAGTCTGGGGAACTTGGAAAATGATTAATCTTAAGAGCCTTGATGGCGGTCTCAAAGACAAAGTTAAGAAAGATTAGTTAGTATTAAACTTTCGAAACCGATGAAGGTTTAACAACATTTTGAACTTTAAGACTGTGATGTTAAAGAAGGATGAAACAAATGTTGAATAAATATCGATAATATCTACGAACAATTCGAAAAATCATAAAGCCCTAAAGTAATAAACAAATAGTACGTATAAGAGGCAAAGATAAATATTTCTACCCATTGAACGAGTAACACTTCCTATTTTCTTAACACTTTAGTGGCTGTTGTCGTGTTCTCGTGATTTTAAGATTTTTCCATTATTTAGTCTCTTAGATGCAAATTACAATTTCAAAATTAGAACTACGCACCTCTCTTAACACTTAATCGCCGGGAGACGGAAAATTTCGTTCTTTCCGGTTTATGTGTTATCTGTGGGAGCCGGAATTTTTCATTTTTAATAGTCTATGTATATGTTTTATTTTTTGACAGGATACATATCCCGATTCTGCAATAAAAGGTGAGCAAAAGTAAAAAGAAATCATTTAAATTCAATTCGAGGTACCACTGTACCATTAAATTTCTTCTAATTGCAAGTGCATAAAGTCACGGGTTCGTGTTACATAAAAGTGCGGGCAATTGACCCGGTTGATTAAGTGTTAAGATGTCCCGCGGGACGACACAGGAAGAAGGATAATCCACATACAGCGACCGACTCTGTACTTTTTACCGAAGCGCTAATTAATAGAGGTGTGCAAGAACCCGAAAATAATCGGGTCGAGTCGGATATTGTCGAATTGTTCAATTCGGTTTCTCGTTCACCTCTAATAAATATGTATCACCGATATTTACCATTCGTGCAATGTGTTCCGCCTCCGCCTTATCGATGCTACTGTATTCGTCCTCGCCGTTTAGTGTCAATCTACGTACAACCTCGATCAAATCATTGGCTGAAATTTCATTGTCACCGTCCAAGTCTGCAAACAAAGATATTAACGATGTCGATGTTCGCAAAGGGTTATCCGGACTGTACTGTCCGCATCGTGCAACGCTTTAGTAAGCTAATCACACTACACTCTGTCACGTCGGTGTCTATGCAACGCTTATGGCTTACGGCGCTTATGGAATGGGAATGCATTGAATCTATCCAAAATGAGTCGGCAAACTGTCCCGAATAGATTAGTGGAACAGAATTCTCCTTCTAACTCTGTTACTTTCATTCTTGTATTTCTATCGTTCGAGTTTCAATGTTAGAATTATAAAAGCGATACAGAAGCGGAAATCGGGGCAGCTCGATTACGACTAGGTATCTGAAGTTCCTAATTAACCGTTGTTTACGATGGATTTTACGTCTGTTCAGAGGCGTTGATTTTCTACAGCAACGAAGTAAATATTCAGGTTTGCTTTCCATTCCGTCTGGAGATATTACACAAAACATTAAATTATAAATTACTGTGATTTAATATCAAGCCATTTCAAGAGTAGATATTTGTATTTTTGTTCATATAGTCGAAAAGTTATTATAATTTATTATATAGTTGTAAGAGAGGAAAGGAAAAGACGTTTTCCGTCTCGGGATCGTTTGTCAGACTCGTCAGTGGGGCTGACAACAGACGATCCCTGCCCCAGACACCTACATCATACCGCAATTCGGAACTCCTATGTTATTCGAGAACTGCATGCCAGGCGACCGCCAGCGAGAACACTGTCATCCTTGCTGCCACCTAGCGGTCCCCATTCGGAACCAAAGGCGTCCAGGGAGACGAAATCCTCTCCCCCTCCACTAAACGCCTACAATATAATTTATTGTATAAAATTTATTATTATACAAAGATGTTTTTATATCCCTACCTCCGGTAGGGCACGTTGGTACAGTGTAACAATCTAATTGATTTAAATAAAAATTGCAGAAATTGAAAAACTGAAAGATGTATCAATTTGCCCCGGTCTCCTCTAATTATTATTGAATACAAGTTGTATCGAATTGCACTACAAATCAGGAAATAAATGCTTCCTTTTTCTTTTTTTCTGTTTCATCAAAACTGTCTGTATGATTTTTCCTTTCTGTTCAGAGACTTTTTATTTTTTCTCAGTATATCCTACTTTCGCTTCCCTAGGTCCTACGTTAACATTCCTCATCCGTAACCACGAAACGTTACCCTGTTGTACGTATTCCCTCTGTCTGTCTTTGTTTGTTTCTCTACTATTGTTTTTCTGCTTCCGCGAGCATTGGCGCGACACCGTGTGTACCGTGAAATTAAACGATCACGATTAACGAAATCGAGCAAAGTTCTCGCGTGCCAGTAATATTGGGCAGGCTTTCCCAATCAGAAAGGATCGCAAGCTATTTTTGTCTGCCCTTTGTTTAAATCCTCGTCGATTCGTTACAGTTCGTTAGTCGAGGAAAAAAAAATGCCTGATGAAAAATAAAAGCGGATTTGTTTCTGGCGATTTAAATTCAGTTTTTAGTTGATGCTTGTTAGCAACTGAACATTTACAATGTACTGTTCTATAGGAATCGATGAAAAATGTAAAGAATTTTATACCAAAGATACGGAATGCCCAACCAGCGCGAACAACTTCAGGACAATCCCTCGAAAATGCCGAAAATAGATCCAAAACGTCTTCGAGCCCTAAATGACCATCCTTTTTCGACGAGAACACTCTATATATCGAATCATGGAGCGGACTGTACTGAAATTGTAAATTGAATTAAATCGTTTATCACGATATCAGATTCAGATTTAGTTTCAGATTTATCATGATTTCAATTCAAGTGCTCAAAATTATCTAGTTGTTATCTCTAATAATAATATTTAACTTACTCTAATTTGAGGTAGTATCGTTTCGATTTGTTTTATTGTAAAACGATGCTGAGGATTTATCCGAAGTTTTCCTGGATCGATGGCATCGAGGAGTTTGACAATGCTACAAAAGCATGAGAAAAATGTTGAAATTGAATTATTTTAAATTTTAAAAAAATTTTATTGGAATTTTGTATTTTGTTATATATCAATCGAAGCGTCTTTTAATTCTGTGACCAGAAAGTACAAGGCACTGGAGTAAAAAGTTTATTAATTAAAAAGATATCTTAGGGAGAAGCAGAGAGATACCAGCAGTCTCTCCTCAAGATATCTTTAGAATTATTCCATTTTCGACCCAAGTATCTTAATAATTTTTTGTAGAGAATAAAAATACGCTTCCATTGGTATATAGAAGAGTACGAAAGTTCTATTTAAAAAAACGAAATTGACCTTGTTATCTTTGAAACGTTCCTACTTGCAGACAAAAGACGCGATATTAAACTTCCTGTACGTCTTTGTTTCTATTTTATTGTACTGCAGGTTGCTTCTGTTTACTACTTACCGAAGTATTTCGTGCCTTTTTAAATAAGTCAATTCGACATAAGTAATGAGAGTTTCCTCGTCAAGGATATGGTCGGTCGATAATAAATTTCCCATAACGATGCGTAACTATCAATAAATTTCAATCAAACGTTGCGCTATTAATCATCCGCGTACTGTACAGTTATCTACGCACCGATAAGACGTTATCTATTCCGACGGTATTATTCAGAAATATTACATGCGGTATTTACAGTTGAATCGAGTCCACTGCCATCTGTATCGCACGTACATAAGTATTTTTGAAATTGAAACGTTCAATAATTTTTACAAAATACTGATTTATGAAAGGAAAACAAATTGTGTTATTATTTGCGTACTAAGAGGATTATTTATAATATTATTTTCCGTGTGTCACTAGTGTACTACCGTTTATTAAATCTGAAATCTGACTACGGACGAGGCTGGCACTCGATTGCTGATGTTGGTTGTCAGCCTCGTTTCGTGTTTCATACAATTTTCAGAAAATTTATGTACATGTTCAGGATACTCGACTGGGTTTACTATGCGAGCAAAGTAGGACGCTGCTGTTTTTCAAATATTCTTTTATTTGTTTATATTCTTTTTTTTTCCAAAATCCTACCCTCCCGATAGTAATTGACGACGCATCGTAAATCCACCCCTTCAGAATCACGATTAACACATTATCCACCGGCTATAAATAAAATAGATAAACACTACCCACCTTATAATGACAACAATTACTAAAAATGAAAAGGTGTATCTTTTCAATTTCCTCTTAATTGAAGTACATCTAACTTTCATTACTTCAACATAGTTGTACGCGAATTTGTAATAAACAAAATATTATTAAATGATATCTCTTCAACAGCCGATACTGTGAAAAAAGCCTACAGGCTTCCGGTAGATAAACTGTTAAGTCCAATCGAAACAAACAAATTGATATTTTCTGGTAACGATAGAATGGAATTTTTCAGCGATCCGAAATCTGAACTGCGATAGGATAGAAAGGTTATCGGGCGAATGTAAAGTTAAATTATTATTAGTGAAAATGCTGGCGATGATAAGTGATAGGGAGGGAGTAACGGAGTCGAAAACCGGCCAATAATTATTACACGGCTCCACGAAGCGGTTATTGTCCCAATTTGGGGGTCGCTTTGCGGATAATGGGTGTGCTCGAGAGGTCATGTGAGTCTGACGTTCCAGCATGTCAACAGCAACTATGCATCATCGGATGTCTGCCGCACGTAAACGCCTGTTCCCTTCCTACCTTCCTACTGCTTCCTTCTCTCTTCCTCCTTTTCCGGACCTTCTCTATCCCAATCACCCTCCTGTCTCTTGCTTCACTATCATCCCTATCCGTCTTTGCCTCACCTTCCTTCTTTTCCCCTTCGCGAACTCGTCTGGTACGAATTTTAATCAATAGATACGTTACCTTTTATTGGCTGTCATGGTAGATTTATTTAAAGGAAAATGGGGAATAGGGTAGAGGAAGAAGGGTATAATATGCTCTGTAGGCATTGTCTTCGACTCGTAGATCAAGCCGCAAGTTCGTACGAGGAATGGCACAGTAGCTTTGCCCACTTTGCTCTCTTTGCTTGGCGCACAATGTCAAACAATCTTTTTCTTCGTTTGCTCCGTCAACTTATTCGCTTGGTAGCGATAGTTCCGACATAAACGCACACCCGTAGCCACGTGTGCAATGTACCAACACGTATGCAGGGTGCGCAGCAAGTGCAGGATCGAGGTAGCTGCATATCTCCCAGCCTAGGAATTGGAATGGATGGCGAACGTGGGTACAATAGTTCGCATTGTATTGGATCTCTCCGAGTGATAGGCACTCCCCCTTCCTTCCTATCCACCCCCTCCTATCTATCCATTCTCCTCTATCTCGTTGCTTCTGTTTCGCTTTTTCCTACGCTCGAGCACAAGCTACCCTTCTCCGTCGAGTTTCCTACCCTCCTACTCGTATCTCATTTTACGAAGGCCTCGAGCGTGCGTTATTATGCGCGTTATGCCACTGCCTCGCTATTCTATCGCCGTTGCAGCCAACTGCATCGTTTCTGCCCGTTTTCTCCTCTTCCGGTCCCAGCTACGGCATTTTGGCCCGCCGCGTGTCCTGCGACTCGCGACCCACGCGGATTCGACTAAACGATCGATAGATCGATCGAACCCCGCATCCACTTCGAACCGTCCCCTATCAAAACTCCTTGCGGAAATTTCTCTCTATTTCAACCCTCGATAACAGCTCGCCAACAAACCCAACTTTATTCCGTATGTACACTCGATCCGCGACCTTCCAATCCTTCTACGGTACTTTCTCCCGATTTTCCTGATAACGTCTAATACTTTTTTATATTTCTACTGGCGAATCTGGAAAAAGGTACCCGTGTACGTGTCATCCGTGGTCGATTTCGATAACCTTGGCGTGCGTTCGCGAAATTGTCACGGGAACGATATTTTTCATTTTATATGAAAATTGTAATTTTACCAAGTTTTCCGAAGTAAAATTTATCGCGATGACATATTGCTTTTCATCTTTCAATTGTGTATTAATATGGAAATTAATTCGGCCATGGAACGATGCGCGTGTGTACGTATTATAGTTTTAATTTAGAACTTGGTTTCAACTAGTGGCACACCAGGGAATTACAAAGTATTACGAACATAACTTCATGACGATTGGTGGAATTCCATCGGTACAAGGTATCGTGAAAAATGAAATTATCCGGAAACCATGGTAGCTGGCAAATGGAAAGGGAGTTAAGCGGCCTTCGTTCGGCAAATAATTGATGCGCGTCAATTAGATTTGTCAGGGTGATCGTCGTAATGAAATTAACAGGAACACCAGCCGTAGACACGTACATACATATAACCGGTAATAGATATGTATACCCTCGCTGAATCGTATCATCTACAAGGTGTGTCGTAAATTCGCCATTCGATTCCATCCTTTTTGTTTTATCTGTAGACAGGACCGAATTCAGATTTTTGGAGCCCTGAACCATCAGATTTTAGAGGGCCCTATTGGTTGATAAATTTAGTTCTAATTAAAATTAATTAACATTTCATCGTAAAAGAAAACAAAATTTCATTCAATATTTTTTTATATAATAAATGGAAGATTTATAAGGAAGCCTCCTCCAAAATGGAACTTCCCTTTAATTCGGCCCTGTAAAAAAAAATATATGCAAAAGTGAAAAGTTTATTGCTTTCCATTATTTATCCATTCATATTCCTGTGTCGAATTATAATTTGAATCCCGCTCGCCTCGGTGATTTATACTTTTACTGTATTCTGGGCAAACGATCATTTGTATGCATTACATGCGCATCTCATTGAAAATGTCGTTCTAATTACCTTGTATGGGTTGTATCAGTTTTGTAATACGTATCGTGTCTGGCACGAAAGACAATCGAATGGATCGGCAAAGATTCATGAGACACCCAGTATGGACACATGTATCTACATGTACATCCGTGTACATGGAGGCTCTCGCCATAGCGTGAAATTTAAATTTTTCCGATACCGGATACCACTAATTCCGTTGATCCGGTAAAACTGCTAGAAATTCCTATCTCACTTTCTGGTTAACGAAGATAACGCGATAGTTCTGACTGCTCTACCGAGGAAACGGCCAATTATCGGTCTACTTATCGATGACAGCCTCCAGGTCGCTTTAATCTTTCGATTCTTTTCATCGTCAGTCATTCCCGTTCTTTCGCTCGATAACAACGAGAAGATTTCGTTTCGCTGCTTGCTATTAAACTGATTCTATACGCGGACAATTGAATAAGTTTCTTATCTACTATTGAAACGGGAATAGATGTATTCGGTATTCATTTATTTTCAAACGATATGTAACTGTCCTTCATCCCATTTTTACCCACAATATTCGATACGAATAGAAAATTTCAGTTTAAAGTTTCGGAATTATGGTGATCAATTCTCGTCGCAGAATCTTTCCAGACGGAGTTTTAGGAATATTTTCGATGAACTTAACACCTCCTCTTAGCCATTTCTGCGGTGACAGGTTCCCTGTAATTATTTCGTAGAATGTTCATTTTAAACAAATGCGATCTGCAGTGAAGTGACTAGGTAGGGGGTAAAATGGGTTTGGGGTCTTCAAAAACGTGGGCCGGCACTTATTATTCTAAAATTCTCTTCCGACCTGATCCACCCCCAGAAAAAAGGCCTAGTACCAATGGAGATATACCTATTCTTTTTTTTTAATTTCTCGAAATATAAAATTATAAACGAAAGAAAAGATACACTCACCATTCGCGAAGTCGACAATATCTTTAGTCGATACCGTGCTGCTACCCGGTTGCCTTACGACAAACGCAACTGGTATTTCTCCGCTAACCTCGTCAGGTTTCCCCACAACCGCCACTTCTTTAACACTCGGATGCGACAATATCACAGCTTCGATCTCGGTCGGTGAAACTTGGAAACCTTTGTATTTGATCAATTCTTTTATCCGACCCGTGATGTACAATAACCCCTTCTCATCCAGGTACCCTAGATCACCGGTGTGACACCAATTGTCTTGGTCGATCGTTTTTGCGGTGACCTTAGGGTTTTGGAAATAGCCGAGCATCACTTGTTCACCCTTGAAGCAAACTTCTCCGACTTCCTTTACTGCCAGAGTCCTGCCTGTGCTCGGATCCACTATTTTGCACTGGAATCCCGGTATCGCAGCGCCAACCGTGTTGTCGGTACTCCTTCTGCCGCTCAAATTCGATATTATTGATAATTCCGTCATACCGTAACCGTTCCGAATGTATTTCATTTTCGTGCGTCTTCGCACTTCTTCCCATACCTGAAATAGATTCACGTTTCTCTCTCTTTCTTCTTTCTTTCTTTTTCACAAAGATTTGAGATTATGAAAACAGATGGCTGATGGACGGAACAAGGCTCGCAAATATCGCGATATTTCGTTTTCATGTGTCGGCAATTTGGAAGGGAATGGCTTAAATACTTGTGCAAACCGAGCGGCACACAAATTGTTTCCCTCGAGGGGGTTACTTTCCCAGCTGCCTTGAAACTTTTCGCCGGATGCTACGGTTTATTGCGGATGCACAAAATTCTTGGTTATTTTCCACAGAAACTGATTGCGTTTCATTGTTTTCTATAGTCTGCTCAGTATTGTTTTTATAATTGTTAATTATTTTATTTTCGTTAGTTGCGGGAACGAGTGTGTACGCAGCTTTAGAATTTAACTGAAAATTCAGCCATACTAAGGGCATCAGCCAAAGATAGATTTGAATTGTAAGTTCGCGTCACGAATACGACAAGGGGTTAACTTTGGGTTAACAAGGGTACCCCTTGTACGGCAACGGGTTAATGATTTAATTCTGTGGTAGCTTTTTTGTTACTTGGTTTCTTCGTTTCTTTGAACCTTATTTTTATGCTAACCAGTGCTCTTGTCATTAATTTTGATAAGGTTTTGGTAAAAACTTACGTTCTGTTGAAGAGGGGCTGCGCCAGATAATAATTCCCTTACGCTGCTAAAATCATAGTTTTCCACCATTCGGTGTTTAGCTAGCATTATTAAGATTGGAGGAACCAATGGTAGATGCGTGATTCTGTAATCATCGATGGCTTTTAACAACGCAACGAGTTCGAAATTTCGCATTAAGTATACGACTCCTCCGGTACTTAGTGATATAATTGCTAATCCAAACGCGTAGCCGTGGAACAGTGGTAAGAAGAGTATTACTCGGTCACCCGGTCGACAATCTAAATGAGCTGGAACTCTTTAAATGAAAATAAATTTTGATTATTTAAATGATTTGTACAGGAAGAAGTTAGCTATGCCTGTTTTAGGATAAAGGAGAAGGGATACCCTTGTTATTTTTAGATGTAGAAAGTCTGAGAATAATCATAAACAGAAAAATCAAACATAGAAATTTGGAGATTCTCGTGCGAAATGTGCCATATAAATATAAATATTATAGACTTTACAAAACTTCGGTTTTTTTTCACTTTTTCTAATCGATGGAAAATTCGGGCTAATAGAAATTAGGTTTGGTAATTTGGTATGGTAATATGAGATAGCCAATTAAACAAAGCGTGTTTATTTTATTTTGCCTATAAGTGGCATGATAGGCATTAATCTACAATTCCCCTTTAAAATCTATTCTACTACTTGATATCTAATCATTGTTAAAAGTTTCAATACGGGTTAAAACTTTGGTATCTCATATTTCTACCCTATCTCATATCCGTACCTTCTCCTTCATCCGTCTATGATAAAAATCTCTCGCTCACCTAGTATTGAACATGAAAGTTAATAAATTTCGATGCGACAACATTACACCTTTCGGAAATCCTGTCGTTCCACTCGATCCCAAAATAACAGCGATTCTTTTTGCATGATCGTCAACCGGTACCGGTTCAAACGCGTAAGGATCTACCATATTTTTCTGTTTCTCCAAAAGTTCTTTCAACGTGACCATCTGTCCATCGAGAGCCACGTCCTCCACTTGTATCAATTTCATGGGCCAGCTCAACGTTGGTGCAATTTCCCTCATAATTTTCTCGGTACGGTGCGTTACGAACATGATTCGTGGTTGATAAATATCCAACATGTGTCTGTACTCTCCTGTATTGAAAACATCACGAATCTAACGTTTCTCTTATTTTATCAAAGAATAAAATAAAGTGTATCTGACTGACTTTTAGTGTATGCCGGATTTAACGGCGCCCAAGCAGCCCCCGTGAATAAAGTAGCACACATGGTTATCACGTAATTAGGGTGGTTTTCACTTGCGATCGAAACTCTATCTTCCACTTGTATCCCATAGCTTTTCAAAACGGTAGCTAATATTACACTTTTTTCAAGAACTTGGTCGTACGTAAACTGTTTACCGGTCTGAATATCTACCTGGAATATTAATATAAGAACGTTACTGTGAAGCACATGGACGATAAATAACATTCTGACTGAGATTTCCAAAATATGAACGAAAAGTGACACTAAAGTAACAAATATAACAAATGTAACAAATATAGTGTTATACAATGTAACCCACTGTAAATCATTTCCTTGCTTTGTTTTTTTAATAAAATATTCTTTTCAAGAATATTTGTCTCGAATAATTTGTCATTTTTACTATACCTGAATAATGTTGTCACCGTACTCGCGTAGTTGTTGATATATGTACTGTCCTAGTGAAAGATTCGGTACCTTTAATGCTGGTAAGGCGCGGACTATATTCTGGTTTACTTCCATTTTCAATCGTTCTTTATCTAGCGACGACACAAGGTATATTAGTTGTGACAGAGTCTAACGTTTCCATTTTATCGTTGAATACAAAATCAGCATCGATGCGTATCGGATCCATGATTTGCAATATTTTTTTGTCCCGAGTTAATTCGTTAAACGCTTGAATAGCGGAGTCGGGGTAAATCGAGACCCAAACTTACAAAACATACGAGAGGAATAATTTTTAAAAGAACAGTGTAAAATTCAGAAAGTGAAAATGATATGAAATACAAAATTAAATGAAAATTGGGGCTCTCTTCATGGTCCGCCGTCCGAGGGTTAATGAGAGATTTCTACGCTGGACGAATGTAACGGTGTATAGTGTAGCAGTAGTGTTCGCGTATCTCACTATTCAGTCAGGGTAATTGCAATAATCGTTACCGCTAAGAAAGACAGACAACTTTCTCGAGATTGGTTCAGCGGTCGGTGGTGGTATTAGCTTCAACTTCTGCCACTGATTCCACGATAAAACTCGACGTGTATTCAAGCATGGAATGATACGTGGACTTTGGATTCTGTCGATAGTATTTGCTGAAATAGATAGTTCGAGGAGAATCCTGATGGGTTTACCTGTTAAATGTAATTTACCGTTCGTTCGATCAATCTCGTCATTCCGTTAGCTTCCTTTCGACCATTTCAACAGATCTTCGGGATCACTGTGTTTCTAATTATCAAGTTTTCCATGCTAACCGTGCGAAGATAAGTCGTTCGGAATACAATTTTAAAAATTACAATTTACGATCAAGTAGAAGTCAGGGTGGGTCTACTCTAATCATTCTAAACATTCTAAAATGGCAAAATTTTGGAGGAACTTGGCCCACCCCAAAAAATCCTATTTACACCAATATCAGAACACAGGTTACAGCAATAATTTAGTGTAACATAGCATTTACAGAGACAGTGGTAATAAATGTAGGTTGCGTTGAAAACGCGTACCTAAGTCACGGTCTACTCTTGTTTAACCAAGAATAAAATACGACGCTCCTAAACTCATAATATTAAATTATCGTGTGCTTGTACCGTGGTGAAAAGTCGGCGAAATCGGAAGGAAAACTCGATAGCACGATGGAAACGTCTCGTTGACAAATTGTTTTCCTTCGGTATCGACTCGTTGGTCTGCAGGGAACAGAAAGGAAAGCGAAAAAAATATTTTCGTTTTCACGTTGCGGAAACGATTTCGTTTCCAATCCGATGTCCAACACTTAATTACACGAATGTCTTCAACCGATACGCGATTTGATAAATAACGTCGAGCGATCTGGTTCGTTTCAGAATTAGATTTAGAATTTAATTTATTTGTGAAAGTAATTTATTTTGAAGTTAACTAGGTACGTACTTATCGAATTGTCGAATTATCGGGGCAAGCACGAGGCCAGGATGTCTTGAATATTCACGCGTCGCAGAAGAAGAGGGTGGAATGCGTTTTCGAAAATCACTGAACTGCCTTGGCTGGCTGGCTGGGAATCGGTGTTCAGGGTTAGTTTCAGCGTGTATGTATACGTGTAGGTTGGTAAGGGGGGTGGATGAGCCGGAGTATGAGGGCGCGTGCCACTCTGATTGTAGCAGCCATACTGGGACACACGAGCCACATACCGACGATTCTTGGTTTCATGCGGCGTGCCTAGACACCCGGAGAATACTTATGACTCGCCGAAGCGTGCGACGCTGCGCGACGCGACGCGACACGACGCGACGCTACCTCCAGCTAAGGGCTGCCGTACCGTTTTAAAAAGTGTTCCCGTTTAATCTGCGAACCAAACCGGAATACTCTGGAATTTAACTCTTGGTTAAAAGTAACAACAAAGGGGGACAAAGTTGGAAGGTAACGGCTCGCGCGAAATGAAAAGGCCAGCGATGAAAAGGCCACTGACAATCGCTTTTAAAAGGATTTCTAATTTCTATTATATTCTACGATAAGAGTAAAAAATATTTCTACACCCAGTGTACATATTTATTTTAATACTTTGGTCGAAATTTATTTTTATATTTCTTTTTTCTCCCAATGAAAAATATCAAATTTCGAAAGGGGTAATAAAATATTGCAATTATTACGATGGAAATTAGAAATTTAAGGGGCTTTGTTTAACTTTGAATTTCAGTCTTTTACGCGGCGAGGTGCGAGAACACAAAGAAAACTTGTCCATGCGTACATTATGACAGTGGAACGCAATTTTATATTTAAAAAGTCATTTCGACGCTCCCAGTCGACGGACGTCTGTTAGGTTTGAAAAAATCTGAGCCGAGTGCTCACCTCTTCCGAATTAATTCATGCAACAAAAAGCGCCTCTCGAACACGTTCAAAGAGATATTTTATAGAAAAAAGCTTTCGCCCTTGTTCCCGTGCTAGTTCGAAATGTCTGAACCCATTAGTTTCTCTACTCTCCTCTTCCTTCCTGCATAACTTTCACAGTTCGATCAAAGAAAGTCTTTTCTACGCAGCAAACTTCCATTTCATGAAATGTTTACAAGCGGTTAAATATCGCTTAAGTAGGAGAAAATTTCGCAAACTTTCAACGCGAATGTACTTTGCACAGACAGAAGATGCTAGTCGTAGTTGTACGATACTTAAGTTTCTTGAAAAATCATGGTTTTCGTAGACGAAAAGAAAATGTATCGAGGACGTTTAAATGTATGTTAAAGACCTTTTTCCATTACAAATGCTACGAATATATTGTGTTCCGGTGTTTGCTCCAGTTATTCGAACGTAAATAGAAGAGGGATGGTGTAGAGAAAGTAAACTCAACGTCTCCTTTACTTGAACAATACTGTTTCCTCTTGTTCAAAAGTAGTAGGTTTCTGAAATAATCATTCAAGAAACAATTTGTCCGTTTAGCTGAATTCCTCAAGTGCTTTCGCGTCTTCCCGTTGCGTACTGAACAAAATTAATCAAGGGTCACGCGTTTTCCTTGGAACAGTGCTGCTTTCGAGGAGCTGTTGGAAGATGAAACAGAGAGCGGGGTAATCACGATAGTTAATGGTATCTGACGTGGTCTGATGTGAAATTTGATTCTCGAAATACCGGTATTTAGCTTGTACTTGATGACTTTACGAGATTTAAGCGGATAAGGGAAGCGACTTACGTACTATGTTACTGGCAAAACTTTGTAATTTAGCTTTGCAGCCAGACTGTGGAAATTCGACACGCCTGTGGAATACGTTAACCATTGTGTTCTATCGTGAATAGAACACGACAATTAAAACGTGGTGTTAACAGAAGAACAAAAGTTTCCAACAAATATAACGCAAATTGAATATCATAAGTCATAGATGTTAGCACGTACGTGTACCGAGACCCGGGGTCAAAACGTCCATGTAATTCCCTTAATACCCAAATAATTAGGGCTCCAAAAATGTAGGTAGGGTGGCCTGTTCATCATTCTGAAATTCTGAAATTCCATCATTTCTATAGGACCTTGTCCACCCCATAGAAGTGCTAGTAGCAAATAATACCAGGATAATTTAATAAAATAATAAATTAGCAAGTCAGAACATTAATTAATAAGTAGCACGTAATGTACCGCTATAAAAAGGATGCTTTTCCAGAAATGAAAAATCAACGTCGACCGCGTGAAAAGTCTGTCTCGCGATGAAACTCGATTGTCTCCGGCCTCCAGATTCGTATTAACGTAAGGCTGCGACTTAACGGAATTAACGAGATCGCGTCTGTCGCGTGGCGGGCGCGCGTTCGGGCGCGGGCGTTGGCGCGGGCGCGATGCAAACGCAACGGGCCGCTCGAAGCAGCCTCAGGATTTTGATAACATGTGACTTTATCTGGAATTCCGGAGCGCGCAGGTAGCCTGTTTACTTAAGATAATAGCGAAGCAGAGTGGCTGGCTGAACGTAGATGGAAAGCTAGCGGGGGAAAGGCGAAAGGATATTTCAGCAGGCAATGTTGAGTCGAATCTTCTCTCTGGCACTCTGGCAAGAAGGAAGACGAGGAGGACGAACAGGAGAAGGTGGAGAAGAAGAAGAAGAAGAAGAAGAAGAAGAAGAAGAAGAAGGTAGCTAGAGAAGAGTCGAACGGTCGAGAAGGAATAGACTGCCGGATATCGAGTGCCGAGTAGTCTCGGGTTAGCGATAGAAAAGGAACTCGAACATCGAAGAACCAAGAAGAAGAAGAAGAAGAAGAAGAAGAGGAAGAGAATCGTAACGCGAAGGTGGCGGTGCAGGAGGAGGAGGAGGAGGAAATGGTGGTGGAAAAGGAGAGGAACGGTTGTTGCTAGAGGGTTGGTTGGCCGTCGTGGTGGAAGAGGTTGCGAGAGAGTAAGAGGGAAAGAGTAAAATAGAGAGGGTGGAATTCCCTCTCAGCCGGGCTACAAGAACTTCATTTTCCGAGCCATTACGCCCCGTCCCACTGCGCTACCCTGCAAACCCCTTTACCCCCTTAAATTAATTTATATCGAAATTTTAAATGACATTCATCGGGACGAACAATAAATAACACTACCAGGCCCGGGAAAACGGTATCGCGTTAGTGACGTCGAGCCAGCCTTTTCAGCCAGTCACGAAAATTTTCAGCCAAAGAAAATTGCGTGAACAAGTTTGTTATCGCTACGAACTATGCTTGTATTCCGTAAGACGACAAACCATTCCTTTGTCATTATTTTCTTAATTTTCTCCTACTACCGTTCAAGTAAATTCAGTACGAATCACAAAATACGCAAATAATAATCGTTATTCTTTTTGTAGCTGTTCGAAGCATCGAAGAATTTGCTCGAAGAGCTGTATGGTTTAACTGTATCTTGGAATAAAATAATGCCGGGGAAAACGTCTATGTTCGTCCGCTGGGAAAATCGGTAATACAAACGTATCGCAGACGTTGACATGGTTGAGTAAAATTTTAACAACCTACACCCCGTAATGGTCCCTTTTATAATAGTCGTTACGACGTCGCGCAGAATTGCTCCTTTCTCTCATTGACGTCGGTTTCCACTTTTAGGTTCAACCAACTTCACCTGTTTCTCTATGTCGTTCGTATATTTCCGTCAAACAAATTCGCAGGATTTCCCGTTTCGCTGAACTCCAAACGAACACCATTAAAGTTGGACGAAATCTTCGATATTTCTTACGCGGTAGCTTTATCCCTGTTATCCCTTCCGCGTTGTGTTTAGTTAAACGAACATCCGAATATTTTGATAAAAACAGAAGCCTGCTATTTCCATTTTTTACTTGTCCACCTTCGCGTCGATGCAACTCGATTCGTATGATAGAAACGTAGTTGAAACGAAAGGGGACATTGGAAAAAGGGTGGACAATGGTCGCAGTTTGCGGATTGCTGAGAAATTTGTCACATTGGACCGGCGAAACTAAAGCTGTCAGTAACGTAGGCGGAAAAATCGTCTGTTTTTTTTGAAACGGCCTTCAAGCTTGTCAACTTGCACAGCTGATGGAACGAATAAAGTATTGATACGTTGAAATGTAGAACTTGTTGAATTGAAAAAGTTTTTTATTACAACGATTAACCTTAACCCTTCTGAATTTTCCCAAATTTTCCCACTTTCCTTTCTTAATTTTTCTACGATACTTGTGGATCTGTCTAGATAGCATTCCTTCGTTTCTCGTTATCGTTGTCCAAAAGATTTGTAAGTACGTCGCGTGACACCGTTCCTTTCAGACGTTCCCGATCACTTTTCCACCGCTTTTCCACCATTCATTCTGTACATTTTGCTTCCAGCCTCGAAGGCTTTACTAGCAAATTTAAACTCGTCGAGTAAACAGAAACGAATTACGATTTTCAACAGACATTTTCAAGTGACTTTCACACGAAAATGTCGAAAACGAACATAAATGTCAAGATGAACTTTTCCCTACAAACTAACTCGTTCCACCATCTTGCAAAGCAGATAAACCGAGAAAAACAAGCGTGCATCAAACGAACGAACTTTCTCTTATAATTCTGATAACACTGTATAAATAATTACCATGTATGCGTGTAACAATTCTTGCAATATCGCAGTTTTACGTATAGAACGTTGGATTCCTTTCTGTTTTCTATTATTCTCACGACACACTATGGTTAATTTGCATACACCGACAATGTTACAATGCCCACTGATTTTTCAAACAGAGAACGGGGAACTTTGTACCGTACCGTTCGCTAACACGATGACAAGTAATATGATTAGCCAATGAATGTTAAACATATATTTTCATACTGTTCATTAACTGTCATGCTCATTGAATTTATCTCTTAATGAACAGCTGTTACGAAACCTCTGTTCACCATAATCGCGTACAAGAAATTACTTGCGACTTACTCGTTCTTAAGTAAATATCAAATTTTCTGCCGAAGTGTTATCAATGCGACCTTTTCTTAGCGAACGCAATTTATCGTCATTGCGATTAACGTGGAATACGATTAGGAAAAGGTAGCATTTTTTGTGATGAATTTTTATGTATGTATGTATAACTCGCTACATCTTGGTATTAACGTAACAACGATAACGAGCGAAAAAGTGGATAAAGCAAGAGACTGGACTGGTATGCGAGGTTGTATTTTTAAAATAACTAGTTTTCACACGAAAATTTAAGTGTAACATCACTGCTTACTTTTATTAGCTCTGTGAGCTGCTACTTCTATAGGTACATACGTAAGTATACACCTATGGTTATGGTATTCCATACATACGAAATACGTACCTTGAAAAATGATCAAATATCGAGCAACGTTTTTTAATACGTTCACTGGTACGCTATTGAAAATTTCTATAGACAGTGTTTTTATTTGTAACAAATTTATAATACGGTAACCCGATTGAATTCGCCCATTATATCTGTTCGATTGGTAGCGGAAAAATAGAAAAAGCAGACTGTAAAATTTTGAAAATTTCATAAGTTCGCAATTGGTTAAATTCTTTTGATATTCCTGATTGAAACGCGTACGAATGGTTATGTAACGAAACAATTAAAAGGCAAATTGAAATAATAATGGAATAACAATGATTCGATCCCGACGATATCAATATTAATAATTAATGGTATCTCCTTTTTCATTTTCCTTTATTCTGATTATTTCAAGATGTATTGCGCGTTTGTGATCTCATTTTTCATAGCTACATTTTCTAAAAGACATATAATAGGATAATATGAATTGCCCGCGTGATAAGGGAAATATTTCCTCGCTCGGAAGGAATAAAAAGAAGCAGAGTTCATACATAAAGCCTCAAAGTTTTTGAAGTAGCACGTATTGGAAAGACGAGAGTACGTACGTACCTACCCACTGGAAACTTACTTTCTTAGTTTGTACAATCTTAAACCGTGCGATGTAATAGAAAGGTCAAGAAAGTTGTCGACTTTCTAAATATTACCATTTTTGTTTCACTACCTTTAACTTCTAACAAAACGTACGAAAAGTTGATCTTTAGTAGACCATTACCGAATTATTTGTGCTCGAAAATGTATCGTTTTAACTTAACTTAGAAAATCAATTCGAGAAAATTCTTTGAACTATGAAATAATAGATATCGATTTTTTTTTTTTTATTCGGAATGTCCCTTTGTTATTTCTTGTTATTCAGGAATTTAAAAATTTAAAAACGAATCTGGTTCTGATAACGCGAAGAAGAGATTCTCCGAACAGCATATTACCAGCTCGTCTACGGCGAAATAAAATTTAACGATGTATCCGTGTTCCAATTTCTCGAACGCAAATACGTTTATGAGGAAGTTTTCAGGAGTCCTGTAGTATTCGGGCTGTCGTCGTTTGGTGGTAAATGCCAGGGCTGTATGTACACTCGGTGCCCGGAGGGCCTGCTTTGTTACAGCCCACAAACCTCTGATACTATGGCATACTTCATCGTGGACCGTGGAGTATTTCAAATACTCTTGCCACGAAGTAGTTGCACACCGGTTCGTCTGTGTAGGAAAATCGCATTCCCAGTTCCAGTCGAGCTTACCTCGACGACCGACGAGTTTGAAAACCTTCGGGCCGCTGAATACGCGACGCGTGCCTACTAACCACGGCCAATATTCGCCCCTGAACGATATCGTTTCTTTTTTAATACATAAATCTCTGCTCATAGATGTACACTATTTGAAACAGAATAATCTTTATGAAGGTCCCTTAGAAATTTCGAAATTTTAGAATCGTAAGCTACAGATAATTAAAATTTGTCAAAAATCATATTTTTTTGCCTAAGGACGTACGCTAGAATCCTGATGGAACCCTCGAGATATCGATTTTTTATTCGAAAAACAATTATGATTCCGCTAAAATGAACTGGATGCGAATCCTGGCTACGTTTCATGGTCCTCGACTACATATGTTATTATTATGT